AAAAACACCCTCAATATTAGAAAAAGATGCATAAAAGAAGCCCAGGGACTGATTACTACTTGAAAGATAAGCAGGGTGTTTGAAAAATGGCTCAAAGCATAGAAATGTCTAAACTCCTTATCTTCCAAAAGACCTTGGCGGGGGGGAAGACTATCATGACCTAATTCCTTGTTTTCTAGATGGATTTTTCTTCCTTTTCCCCTGATAGAAGCATGCCTAGTCACTGCAAAGGGTGGCATTCAAGGAGGACTATATTTTATAGAGATTTCTAGAAAACAACTCATCTGTGGGACTCTAAATAACAAATCAAGGAAATAACACAGCTGCTGATTCATAGCAAGTGGAAAATCTTCTCTAGTTACTAGCAATGTGTATCATCTAGGGCTATTTTTCAGACCCTCTACAGTTCACCATATGGTCTCACAAATGGCTGCACCAGCATGAGGGAGTGGGTGCAAAGGGGAAAGTAGGATCACTTCTAAGTGATTTAAAACCTTCAGGCTTTAAAGGCTAGGATAAATCACAGCATTTCCCTGCCTCCTTCTTTTCAACGTTTCCATGTATTTTCACTTTTGGGCTCTATACTTGTAAGCAGCAGTTGCTTTGGAGCAGACAAAAGGGTGCCCGTGCACTGCATCTGCTAGGATAGTGGCCAAGAGCCAGAACTATAGGGAAAGAGCACAAGAAATACGACAAGTTTAAAATGACCCTTCCTCCATCAGCTTCCAACAACCAATAGTCCAGAAATGTCCATGAAGAGTTCACTAAACCCATGAAAGGATTATAGCAGAAATACTGCTCCTATAGTTAACTGCTACTTGGAAGAGAGTTTTAAGTTTAAAAAAAAAGAAAAGGAGGTAAATATATAAAAAATATAGATCTGGTCAGAGAAAGGCACCATCATGTCACATAGGTGCAGTAATTATTGTAGGTCACAGATACACACACAGGCTGTCCTATGCCCTTATACAGATGTATTCCACCAGTCTACAGTAACTGCTAAAAAAAACCCAACAAAATAGCCAAAGAGCCCCATACTTAGGGAACAGTAGTCATGGTAAAGCAGCCCCAAAGCTGTGGAGCAAGCCATGCCTCAGAGCTACTGAAGCTGTAGCTGTTTGGCTGCTCTCCCAGAGAGACTCATCACCAACTCCGCCTAGGTCAAACTGATAGCACAGATGTTAGAGAAACTTCTCTCCCATACACACAGTTATTAAACAGTGATCAGTCCACCTGCTTATCAAGAAAGATTCAAAAGATCTATCACGTAAAGTAAAACCCCATTGTTCCTGACTTTTAATAGCAGTTCTTTCAAAAGCATCTCTAATGATTGTGACCACACAGGCTTTATGAGAGAGCTAACCGCAGAGGACAGACCATACATCTTTACCCTGGGAAAAGCTGTGGAGCGTTTCTTCCTGACCACGCTGATCAACTGGAAGAGCAACTTTGGTTTGGGAGACAAACAGCTGGAAAGGTGGAAAGGGGGAGGGTATCACAAAGGTTTTCAAACCATAATTTCTGTGAAGATGTTGAATTAGACGCATCTGCTTGCTACTTACTGCAATACAGCAGCCTTCGAGGCACTCTCAGAGACAGAAAGGCTTCCAGCATCAGCAGGAGCATGCAAAACCTTGTAACTATCCAGATTAATGCTAACTCTACCCTTGCCTTCCTCTGCCTCCTAGGAATTAATGACCTCAGGTTTCTGTGAGTGTTCACCCTAAGGCCTTCCCCAAAAGAATGAATTTCATCTTGCACATCCATATATGAGCATACATAAATAGAAGCAGGCACATGCAAAGTCAACAGATACTGTTGTATTCCATTCTGGGATATTAGTGGAAACAGCAACAGGGAAACCCCATAGAACTTGCCTTCACTGTCTGCCCTTTCCTTTTTACTTTACTCAAATACAAATAGTGCTTTAATGTTTTTCTTGAGACAAACTATTCTGATAAATGTTTATGGAGTTAAAAAGGAACTCCCCACTGTGAGTAGCTGGATGTTTGGACAGTTTGGTATAGGAAACATTATACAGTCTCTGCTGTAGCAGTCTGTAGGAAAGTTTGATGCAAGATCAGTTTCCTGTTCCAGTTATGCCACATCGTAGTTTATAGTAGTAGACAATAAGGTAGCAGCTCTGAGGAAGCATCATGCCAAAATAGAGGGCAGGTCATTGCAAATAATACCATTCACAGAACACCAGTTTGCAAGCTTTTGGGGGTTGGTTGGTTGGTTTTATTGGGTTTTTTGTTTGTTGGGGTTTTTTGTTGTTTTATTTTTTTATGAGAATCACAGAATCATAGAAAACAGAAAGAAAAATGCAGATCTCAAACCTTCCCACTTACGTGTAGCAAAACGATTGATAGCACTTCTCAGATCTTAATCCAGACCAGAAATCCACTGTGCGAGGAGCTCTACAAAGCACACAGTCCTTAACCTTTACAGCAGTCACCTTTTCCTGCTTACCTGGAAAAATCATCCACATGTAATTATTTTGCAGCCCAAATCCCAGACTCTGCAGGAGAGACCCAGTATTTTCTTCACTGCCGCAGATGTTCCAGATCTTCATCCAAGCTCTCCCCGAATCATGCCAGCTCAGGGCCTGATTCAGCCAACTATGACACTGCCTTATACCACTAGTAAACATTAAAATCTTACTTAAACATCCCTCCCCGCACACACTCCATGGTAACCTGAAACAACACTTCCCCATCTTCCCTTTTATCTGCAGTTTGATCAGTTTTAACTTGGATGGATCTGTGGAAAGGAGTAAGAGTAACAGCGGCCATTTACTTCTGACTGGAGTGCCAGGTACTGTCCAATTAACATCCAAACAGGAAACAAGTATTTTAAGTAACATTTTATTTTCCATTAGCTTTGCATATGGAGCTTCAGCCTAGCTAACACAAGCTGTGCACTGCAGGTAGCTCTAAGGACAGGTATGCTTGAATACAGTGCCTTTACAATGCCACCTCTACTGCGTTTGCATGGCAAGATTTTGGTAGTGGGAGGGCTACAGAAGGCGGCTTCTGTTAGAAGCTGCTGGAAGCATCCCTTATGTCCAATAGAGCCAATGCCAGATGGTCCCAAGACAGACCCACTGCTGGCCAAAGCTGAGCCCATCGGTCCCAGTAGTACTGCCTCTGGCATAACGTGTTTAAGAAGAGGAAAAAAACCTGCACAACATGCAGCCAGACAGCATAGTGAGAATATGTGAGAGAAACAACTCTCCAGGTACCAAGGTCAGCACCTGTGGCAAAGACCATGCTGGGACAGGCTGATGCCCTGCAGCCATGGAGGTCCGTGGTAGAGCAGATATCCACCTGCAGCCCATAGAGGACCCCACACCAGAGCAGGTGGATGCCAAAAGGGGGCTGTGATCCCATGGGAAGTGCATCCTGGAGCAGCCTCCTGGCAGGACCACAGAACAGACCCACTCTGGAGCAGTTCATGGGAAGGACTCACATTGGAGAAGTTCACGGAGAACTATGTCCTGTAGGAGGGAACCCACACTGGAGCAGGGAAAGAAATGAGAAGCTCTCCCCGAGGAGGAGGAAGTGGCAGAGACAACCGGATGAAGTGACAGCAACCCCCCTTCCCCGTGCCCCTGCTCCACACTGGGGGAGGAGATAGAGAAAATCAGGAATAACATTAAGGCCAAGAAGAAGGGAAAGTGTTTTTCCTACTCTAATTGGTCATAAATTAAACTCATTTTTCCCCAAGTTGAGTCTGCTTTGCCTGTGATGGTGCTAGTGAGTGATCTCTCCCCATCCTTATCTTCACCAACAAGCCTTGTATTTTATTTTCTTGCCCCTGTCCAGCTGAGGGAGGGAGCAATAGAGCAGCTTTACTGGGCACCTGGTATCCAACCAGGGTCAACCCACCACAGCACCAGTTCTAGAAAGCACCACTTTATGTACTTCTCAAAACACCAAATGAAGTCGTATTTGCAGTGAAGTAGTATTTGCATTGTAATAGCAAAAAAACATGTATAAACCTTTTCAGCATTAGTCAAATACAGCATTCACCTTGAATTTTAGGCCATATGCCTACATGGCAACTTGTGCTACAGGAGAGCTCTCTGAAGAGGGGCTTCATGTGTTTGTAAGCTAAGGCCTGCTGTGAAATCCCACAGTGCATTCTACAAAACTGCAACTTGGCCTTTGAGCCAAGTGTTGGTTCTGCTTTGACCAATGCAATCCAACACGGAAGTTGTACCAAAGGAGGAATTTCCCTGTGCCACAGCCAGTCATCTTTCAGCCTCATAGAATATGCTCTCGGTGGTGTTCTCTGGCAATTGCCAGTGGTCAAAACTTCCCAACATAACCACTGGTTGCAATCACTTACTTGAATACCGGGGATCAGACTTTCTCTAGGACATAGGACAGACAGTTCCAAGGAGACTTAAGACAGGTAGCAGGGGGCTCACTGCTGCTGAAACAAGCCCGCAGGAGCCAGGTTATTGCAAGACTGAGAAATCTGCATTTGAATTTTTCATTTTGAAGTTAAATTAAAAAACTTGACTCGAGCTCCGAATTGCTGGATCCTCCATTAGAGCACAGTTTGTTAGCCAAAACTTCAACACTTTGGGCTGTGGCTGCATCAACACTAGACTTGATTAGTCATAATGCTGAAAGCCCTTCTGTTTCATGGCCTCTTCCTCAAGTATCCTGTTTGCAAATCAGAGGTTAAATGTGGCCCAGACAAGATCAGACAGTCAATGCGTACTGTACTTCTGTAGTGATTTTGGTTGGTTTCAGGTTTTTTTCCTGTAAATTACTTTCTATTTTAAATGGCTTTATTGAACCTGTATACATGTATATTTAAACTTCCTTTAAAAGTTCACCCTCTTAAAACAGAGCTTGGATTTCATTTCTTTCAGTGGCATAGCAGTTAAAGAGGAGTGAGCACACCCATTTGATGTTATCAGGTGAAGTAAGGAATGAGCATAATGAACACAGCTATACTGTCCTGTTAATCTACCCACAATGTCTGCCTAGGCAATAGCAGCAAAGAGTGCAATGTATCTCCTTGAGCATTCACTCCACTGTGGAAGTAATAATGGCTTTTGTGCTTCTTGTACTGATTCTGACAATCCACAGTCAGACTTGCTCATGTACACTGGTCTGGGCTTTTCATCACAGCCAGGTTTCTGGCATGGCTTTAATAAACCACCAAACTGCCTATTCTGAAAACAAGATAAGGAGGAGGAAGAGAGAAGGTAAGTATGGCCTATTTCACGAACTTTGTCAACCAAGAAAACAGGTCAACAATGTCAGTTCTGACCAACCAAGCCTGCAATCCTCCTCAAGAAGCACAGAAACTGTTTAATGCATAAATACTGAATGAGTGCTAAACCTGCACAGTGAGGCAGGCTTAATCTCTCTGTAGGAGTTTAAGGAGGGCCTCGCTATGCGGCTTACATTTTGTTTCCATGCAAAAGAAGTCTCTGAGGTGTATTTATTCCATTCATACGAAAAAACAATTTTGTGTACTTAAAAGAAGAAAAGGAGAAAGACGGCAGCACAGAAAGTTTTCTTCATTACAAAGTGTTTTTCCATCAGGCAATTATTTATAAGAACTTTTGTTAACACTGGAGTTTAGGCTCTGGAACAAAGTGGATATATTGTTTACTGGCTTTGCCAGTCAATCTCTTACAAACCTCTCCCTTCCCCCTCTCCTTTTCCAGCCAAGTCAGTTTCTCGAATAGCTCAGGAGTTTCCTTTGTCACCAAGATCTCCTTTTCCACAAATTGTCCCTTGAATAATGCCATCTTCAATGAAGTGCCCCGAGGTATCCATGCTCCTGCAGAGAACTGCTGAGGGGATCCGTGAAGAGCGTCTGTCCTGGCTCTTATCCTCAGAGGAGCAGCAAATCATCTTTTTCATGGTACCCCACATTTCATCATCTTTATATGAATAAATTATTGGGTTCATAACAGAGTTCAAGAGGGCTAGGAGAAGAAACCACCTCTTAACATTCTGAATCCCACAGTAGGTGCAGTTCAGACCATCCAGCAGTAAGACAACCAGGCCAGGAGTCCAGCAGACAACAAAGGCACCTAGAAATAAAGGAGAAAAAAAAAAATACTTTAAACTGGTAAGAGTTTGGGATTTTTTTGCCTCTTACAAGATTATTGGATTCATCAAAATTCTACAGAAAACTATAAAACCAGGAGAGGACAAAATTTTAATGACAGTAGCAAAATCCTATCTAATACAATTTCTCCATCAAGCCCTGAGTATAAGGCAGAGCAGCTCTCTCAGAAGGCTGCAGGGAGCAAGAATCCAGCTGCTGACAGCATCAGCTTGAACACAAGTGGGGAAAGGTCATCACAACAGTGATTTCTCCACACTGATAAATAAACAAGAGCTCTGGAGTATTAACAAGCAGAGAACTAGCACTCTGAACTCAGACTTCCTCTCCATCCCTCTTGCATGCTGGAGGTGTACATACCAGGTGGCTCACTTCCACCACTACCGCAATATGACCCAAAGAAGGGACACGTCTTCTGTCACGCTACAGCTGACTCTGAGACCTATGGGCACAATGCCCAATTCATAAAATAGGAATCATAACTTAAACACATCCTGGGTGGAAACCCCACAGGATACATGCCATTGCATGTGACACACAAGCACACTGCCAGCGCCTGTCAGGCCACCAGCCCACCTCTCTCCACCACTCCCTCCTGGCTTGTGCGTGTGGGGGACTTGAGACAAAACCACTCGGATCCAGGAAATAAGTCCAGTTGTGAATGAAGAGACAAAGAAACCAGATGAGTTAGCAAAGAGGAATCAAAGGATGTAAAAAGTGAGGGCAAAGAAATGAAGCAAAGAACAGAATAAAAAAAAGAAAAAAGACAAAAAATGATGAAGAAGTAAGAATGTAGTGATGGGGAACAAGAAAACTCTGTAGTGTAGCAAGAAACTGCAGGAAAAGCCCAGGAGCAAGAGTTCTCCTTGTATTTCAAAGCTGGGTAGGAACAATAACAGCACCTGTGAGGAAGAAGTGAGATACATGGTGATAATAAAAGCTGAAACACAAAGTAGGACAACACACTCCATTTCCACCAGAAAGAGGAAATAAGGGAGAGAGATCTTAACAGTGAAGACAACATGAAGAAATCATAAAAAGATTAGTTTAGGACAAAGTTCAATATAGCATTTGCATCTCTCCATGTTACTGCACATCCCCACCATGAAGGCAGGGGTATGGGCAGCACGGGTGGGGAGGGGGAACATGGCAACCAAGCGCAGCCCTTGGCCACAAGCTTGGGGGGTTCCCTGAGCTGCCCTATCTGCCCTCTTGTCTTCCCCATCACCACAGCCTGTCAGCCCTCGCCTCGAGCCCAAGGAAGGAGCAGCCATGTGCATGATAATGCTAACTTAGCACAAGCCACAATTGCTGTCTGACATACAGAAATAGAAAATTACAACTCTGCACAACAGTCACAGTTTGAACAACGTACTGAGGAAATTCCAATCATTTATAACAGCAGAGTTTCCCCTTTTTGGGGATTAGAAAAAATAGACAAACAAATAAGGATGATGGCAGCTACATGCTAAAAAGCTCTCCTGGGAGTGTTGGTATCTGTTCAACAATGTTTGTAGGGAAATCAAGTCCAGCTCACTCTTTTTAAAGCTGCTGGTTTTCCCATAGCTGAATTGTACAGGCAAGCACTGGGACCCAGGCAGCACCAGAGTCAGGATTCCACAGCACATGGGCTGGTTTCAGCAGCACTGGACACTTCTCCCCACCAAGGAGTTTAATAGAGTCTGTGCCATTCTGATGGGCAAGCCTTAATGGTATATAAAGTTGAATTCATGTGATTTATTAAGCATTAGGATTACTGAAAAATGTATCCGGGACAAGGTACCACAGATCTTGCTGCAAATCTGTGCTCCTGGGGACCAAAGAAAATTCAACCTACTTATTTACTATTTTCCAGGCAATATTTTACAGGACAGAAAGGCAAGAGACCACCTCCTTCAGAAACTGCACTTTCTACTCTGCTGTACCAAGATTTCTGTGATGCTAAGTACTACTTTCATGGTGTTAGTTTTGAGATACTGAGTTACATCAGTAACATTCCTCCATTGCCCGCTGGCATCAGGAGCTGCAAGCTTCTACCACAACACTTGTTTTCTCTGCTCAGTCTCTATATTACTGGTTTGGCTCCAGTATGCTGAGTAAGCAGTTGTGATACCAACTCTCTCTTACAGTCTACAATGCAGAGAACACTGTACTAATTTATTGCCCTGGGGTTCACCAGCAAAGCCCTGGAACCAGACCACCCAGACAACAATAGCTGAGTGTCTCGGTAAGTATTTGGACAGGGTGCTTTTGCTGGCCACCAAGGGTCACTGGCAACGTCACCAACACACCAGCTCCATGCAGGAATTAAGATGGTAACAAACGCTCCTCAGAGCAAGCACTGGAAGCATTGTGACCACTTGTTCCACAAAGCATGCAAGGTCCAACCCTGCTTTCATGGAAGTCAGCAGGAAATAGACCCCAAAGCCACATACAACAAAAGGCACAGAAATCTCCCCTTCAAACAAACCCCCAGGATTGCAGGGGGATTGGTCTGCAAACTCCTAGGATATATCCCTGTCTATCTAAACCCTAAAAGGTTTCAGTGACAAAAGTGAAGTTAAGACACCTGCAGACAAATCTCTGCACATTTCCCCCAGCCCATGACTGAAGATAAGGACAGGAGGCAATGCAGTGACAGTGTCAAAGTTACTGGCTGATGCTTCCATGGGGTGTTGCTTTCACTCCATCATGGAGACAGCACAAGCGATTCACACCCTCCTCTTAACACCGCAGAGATGAAAGCAAGGCATGGTTCATACTCACAGCCTTGCTTGGATTTTGCTATTTTTACAACAGATCTTCCAGAGGGAACCATGGTTCAGTCTAAATGCATATCTTTGTCTTGGCCCTTCAGCGATTCTCGTTTGCAGACATTATATCCCATGGGAATTCCTGTCCCTGACAAAGTGCAACACTCCAGGAAAAGTTTAATTTCTGTGTCTCTCTAAAATTCACAGAAGTGACTTGAAATACAGCCTGGCTGCAACATGGATCAGAAGAACAGCTCTGAGTCTTCCCACCAGATTACAGGAGATCAAGTGCCACAGTGACTCAAGGTTAGTCTAAGGATTTGCCATTAGATTTAAAATAGTATTTTCTTGCAGGCTACATTACCTCTGCTTGAAAGTGAATTCCTGCGTACCTGGAAGCACTACTGATGCTTTGACAGCACCATGTCATAAAGCTCCACACATCAAAGCTGTCCCTGAGCATGCCAACGCTGAGAAGCGTGCAGTAGCTTCCAGTTGCCTTTGCCACATGCACACCCGAGTTAAAACAGTAAGTTACCAATTAAACTATAAATTCACTGAAACTGAAAATCATCCGCCCCAAAGCAGCTATTTCAGCAGGAATCTCACTGCCAAATTCAGATGAGCTACCATATACAGACCATCTGAAAAATCATGTACCCGCACACCTGCAGCCACCCTTCTTCAAGGCTATAGTCACAGGCTTAGCTAGGACTATGCCACAAAGTCAGCCTAAGAGGATTTAGCCCCCTTTGCTAGGTTTCTTACCTTCCAGTTTCAATCAGATAACCTCCTATGGTTTAGCACACCAAAGGGAAAAAGCCTTGCTCCTATCCTGTGATGGACCATTTTAGGAGTTATGGTAGAAAAAGGTAAATGGCAGGGACCTGGGTCCCAGTCTCTGGAAGGTGTCATCCAAGGCCAAAAAGCCACCTTGAATCCACGAAGTCACACTGAAATTCCCTCAACTCTGAAGTGCAGGACCACAGGAGGAGAACACCCAGAGAGGACAGCCATGCTTTGCTGGAGGGGCAGCCAGACACAGGCCCAGGCTCCCCACAAATGGAGGTGGAGGCAGACGGGAGGAGCAGTGTGCCAGCAGGATTTTGTCCTGAACCTCCCATGAAACCAACAGAGCACATTAACAGGAACTCTGGTTCCCATAGTGCTTCATCCAACAACAGAGTATCTTGGAATTGCTTTTAGTTGAGACCGTATCAGGCATGTATTCCAAAGCATTTTCAGATGTTCTGGAACAAGCCATTAGAAATAATTGCCTTGGTCAAAATCTACATGTTGCATACAGCTGGAGGTTATTGCATCAGTGCACGTAAGCAAAATTTTGGAAGAATCAATTTGGTCACTTGGTAACTTCTTTGATAACAGGGAAGCCCAGAAAATGTGCTGTTCAGTTTCTAATACATTCTGCAGAGTGTGCTTGAATGACTTGGCTATGAATGCACATTTCAACCTGTTTCATAAAATAAACTCTCATTCCTAGAAATAAATGTTTATAAAAAAGCCTCTCAGAGTCAAAACTGGGAGAACTGATATGAAGGAACATGCCAAGATATGCTTTCCCTGACACAGGAATCTGAGATAGATCTTGCACCCAGCAACACATGCACTGAGTCCACTTCTTTGGAAGCAGGCTCTTTTTTGGTGTCGTTTCTGACTGACAGTATACAAAATTATGATCTCTAAAGTAGGACTCAGGCTTTCTAAGTTAAATTTGTCTGGCCCAGCATAGTAAATCACTAAATGCCTTGCTCAAATTATAGTTTAATCTAGCATCTGAAAAGCCATATTCTGTGAGTAAGAGAAAGGTAATGCTGACCTTTAAGTCAACCCATAGTCCTAAGGCTCCTCTCCCTAATAAAAGAAAGACTAAGTTGAAAATGAAGTTTAAAGTGGGGTTTATTTCCTCACAGCAGCATGGCCATGGTGAGCACTGAAGATCTGTCACATGCTAAAGGACCACAAGGGATTAGCAAAGAGCAGCCACCACTGTCCTTCCAACTCCCACCACACTAGGCAGTTGGGTGTCCTCCAGCACACAGAACACCTCTGCTGCTCTGACCTGCAAACATGCACGGGTGGCACCGAGAGCCAACAGTGTTATTCCAGCATTCCCTTAACACCCTCCATCTTCACCTTATTCAAAACCAAACTATATAAATATACATATAAATTAGACAAGGCTATGCATGATGATTTATTTCCATGTGACTTCCCAGAAAACAGCCTGCAGTTCTGCCTTTAATAGAAATGCTCAGAGAACTGCTTTTTCAAGCACTTTTTATCTCTTTCCAATGCAGCAGTTAACTAGAGTCTCTCCAACGCTTATACATTAGGGCATGGTCATATTTGGAGCAATTCAGAGCTTTTCTACAGAAATTTTCTCCTTCCAGATCCTGGTTTAAGTTTCACTGCATGAGAGCTTCAGGCAGGGCAGAAGATCAGATCTTGCCCTGGCAAGTCAAGGTGGGGGATAAGAACAATCACCATCTTGTCTCTCTATAGGTACCATAAAATCAAGGGGGGAAAGGAGTACTGGGGAGCTCTTTAGAAGGGAAAGGCTCTGGCAGTGGACAAGCCAACTTCAGAAGACACAGGAGCATAAGCGAGAACCTTGTATTTACTTGAACCAAGTAAAGTTCTTTTCCAAGGTCAGACACTGTAATATTTAACTGATCTCAGCTTCTAAAGCATCTTAAAACATCACTTTGGTAGACAAAGGTGTTGTGTACTACAGCACTGTTATTTTGGGGGGTGCGGGGGTAAGAAGAAAGGGAAGCAGATACCAGACTGCGCAACATCCATAGACCGCAAGGGGAAGGAAGCGTCCTTAGCCAGCTTCCTACCCTGGCAACTGCTGCCTCCATGAAGTGACACTTTTCTCTCAGACCTCTCTAGTACTACCACGTTGAACAGTTGTCAAAGCGGTAAAGCCATATTTGTGGTTTAGAGTTCCCTACCACCTGAGCCCAGCTTTACAAGTGTCCCACTGTCCCCGCAGTTCCATCCACAGCGAGCTGCACCAACCTGGCTTCCAGAAAACACCTCAGGCAGATCCAAGTCTCCCTGGGGAAAACTGACTTCTACAGCTAGTACTCCCTTCCAATGATCAATCATCCTCCCTAATGCATCTCTGATTTAACTAGCAGCTACATCACAACCAACTGATGCAGTGATCTGAGCTGCCCAAACATCAGCAGTGTCTCTAGTGCAGAATACAAGTCAAATTTTGTGTTATGATCTAGAAATCCAAGGCCAAAATGTATAACCACCTTAAAGTATCTTGCCCCATGCAATCTTCACAGAATGAAGACAAATTTTCCCCTTGCAAAGCAAATCTCTGTCAAAGTCACAGACCCACCAGGCATCAACTCCTTTTCCCAGGGAGGATGTGTTTCAGGGGAGATTAGTACATTTAGGACACACCATGAAAAGGAGCGTGACCAACAGGTCGAAGGAGGTGATCCTGCCCCTTTACTCTGCTTTCGTGAGACCTCACTTGGAGTACTGTGTGCAGTTCTGGTGTCCTCAACATAAAAAGGACATGGAACTGTTGGAACAAGGCCAGAGGAGGGGGTCACGAGGATGATCAGGGGAATGGAGCACCTCCCATATGAAGACAGGCTGAGAAAGTCGGGGCTGTTCAGCCTGGAGAAGACTGCATGGAGACCTCATAGCAGCCTTCCAGTATCTGAAAGGGGCCTATAGGGATGCTGGGGAGGGACTCTTCATTAGGGACTGTAGTGATAGGACAAGGGGTAATGGGTTAAAACAGGGGAAGTTTAAATTAGATATAAGGAGGACATTCTTTCCTGTTAGGGCAGTGAGGCACTGGAATGGGTTGCCCAGGGAGGTTGTGAATGCTCCATCCCTGGCAGCATTCAAGGCCAGGCTGGATGAGGCCTTGGGTGACATGGTTTAGTGTGAGGTGTCCCTGCCCATGGCAGGGGGCCTGGAACTTGATGATCTTAAGGTCCTTTCCAACCCTAACTATTCTATGATTCTAAAAGGAAGAAGTGCAGAGGAAACTATCCACATCCAGCCATAGGATTCATGACCTTGGGCAGATATTCAAGAACATTATTTCAGAAACATTCTTCTGGATAGCTGTGAATGTTCACAAGCCTTCCTCCAAATCATTTTGTATTTCCCCCCTCCCCAAACATACCTGTAGACAATTTATGCTTTTAACAAGCTGAAACAGAGACGCATTTCTTCTGCATATTGATTAGTCTTCTACTTATTTCTGCATGGTGCAGCAGTTGTTTCATTATCTAAAGCAGACAGAAGCCTAAATACCTCCAGCACTTAGAAGTTTGATGAGGGTTTTTTTGGTTTTGTTTGAGGGCAGTACAATATGCTTAAAGAAACCTCAACCAACAAAACAACAAAACAAACAAACCCCACAAACCCATTCATTGGCACTGCCACCCCTGCATATCGTGTGTTGTAGTCTCTTACCTAAGAGAGTCATGACAGTCTTCATAAGCTTCACAGGGGTTCTCCTACGGCTAATGGATCCACTAGTGTGCGATGATAAGACATTGGTTTTCCTCTGGACGTACATATAGATTCTTATGTAAACCACCACCATAATGAAGAAGACAACCAGGTTTAAGACACTCCAGAACACCAAGTAACTTCTGCTATAAATAGGTGCCAGGGATGAGCAGGCAGTAATGTCACAGAGGCAGTTCCAACCCAGGGTGGGAACAGCACCCATGAAAATAGCAATGGCCCAAATAGATATAATTAAAAAGGTGACTCTCTTCTTCGTAAGATTGCTGTGGATCTTCATCCGCATTATCGACATGTGCCGCTCAACAGCTATGACGAGCAGATTCACCAGGGAAGCTGTCAGGCTGGTGTCCAGAAGACCCTGACGCAAAAACCAGCGGTTAACAGTTAATGTCTTAGACACTGGGCCAGTGTTGAACATCAAGAAGACATAGGCAATTCCAGCAAAAAAGTCTGCAGCAGCTAAGTTGGCCAGAAGATAGTAAAAGGGAAAATGAAACCTCTTGTTCTTGACCACAGCTGCTATGACCAATGAATTTGAAATGAAAATGAAGAGGCAGAAAAACGTCCCAAAACACAGAACAACAATAAGCTGTGGCCCCGTCCACTCATCTACCGTGTCTGTGTTTGTCTTGTTATAGAAAAAGTCCATGCGCTTATCATAGTAGCATTCATTCATCCTGGATTAAAGCCCCTGCATCCTGGGAAGAGTGGAAGGGAAAAAAGAAAGAGGGATTAAGAAAACCCCAGCTATTGCTTCAGTCACCATACCTAACAGGGTGGGTTTTTTTGAGGGAAAAGGAGATAGAACATGGACATGAGAGGGAATGTATTTGGAGACTTTAGGTAAACATTCATGTTTTACACAGTTAATGCAGAAGGTGATATTCTGTCCCCTGGAGGACTCAGCACATGATGCTTGGATGATGAGGAACTTTTATGAGACTTACCTGCTTACAAAACCCCAACACAGTCCCTTTGCACTAGTAGCCATAGTGTCTAGGCAACAAAGTGGAAGTTAAAAGAGTTAGAAGTGACTGTCTGAAGGTCACAAAGAAAATCTGAGCAACAGCCAAGCCATTCTTGCCATGAAATCCTATGTCTCAGCCACAGCCCCATCGTTATTTCCATTTCTCAATGTACCCAGTCAGGACAAGGAAGCATAAAACATAACTTTTCCATTTTACTGACTAAGCAATAAAAGGCCTAATATTGGGGGGAAAAAAACCAACCAAAAAACACAAACCCAATTTTTTTTTTTTAATTATAAACTAATAATGTAAAAATATAGGAATATAAATTGCTACAGGCATATATATTCTGAGCATATGCCTGTTACTTGCTACTACAGGATTTAAGCGTGATGAAAAGGAAAAACATTCTACATATTTGACTATTTTAAAGCCAGGGATTCTTTTATTGAGCTGTCATCCCAGAGCCCTGTGAGCACCACATAGCCCAATTATCTTCAAAACCAAAACACGGCTCCCTATCCAACCACAGGATAAAGCAAGCCCCAGCAACAGCAGTAATACTGGCTTTTTTCTTATACCCACTCAGCACTATTTTGCACACAGGGCTATTAATGATGATGGAATGGGAGTCTGTGTTCCAGATTACATCACACTTCAGCTACTCCGGTGAGGTCAATGGCAGCTGCCTTGGCAATTTCACTGCCTTTAGTATGAATCAAACTAACTTGAATTAATTTACACAGGCAGGTCTGACAGCAATTACTCATGGTGACCAGATCCCATGCAGGGTCTCCTGCCTGGTAGGGAAAGTTTGTGTCTGATCAACACTGGAGCTCACATTTGCTGTCAGTATCTGAATAAGGGGGTCAACAATGACATTATTAATAGATATGATATATTCATTAATAGATTTAGCAAAACTTAGGAATCCAACCATAGCACAAGATTCTAATCACATTAGGTATTATACAGAGTGGCAGACCGATACCTGACTACGGACAGAGAAGAGGAAGTACCAGGATTCAAAGCTGCAGGAGAGGCAGCGGGGTTAATAACCTTTGTAAAGCTCCTTGTGAGCCCCAGGCTGTCATAGGTGCCAGTGACAGACTGAGTGGGGCTGAAAAGAAAAAAACAACAAAATAATAAAACCCCACACCTCGAAGCGGTTACAGGCAGAGAGATACAAAAAAGAATAAGCTTTTCATCTACAGCTAAAATTGATCACAGATAAAGATCAGGTTCACTTTGTCTGTTATTACCCTGTGGTTGCCTAACAGCTATATCTCATCTCCCCAGGGACTGGGAAGCAAATTAAGCAATCCCCAGCAGGCTGGCCAAACAAGCCACATTTATATTAAAAGGTTCCTTCTGAGTTTTAAGGTTAAAAGGTTCATCTTCTGCCATTTAAGTTAAGATACTTGTGCCATTTCTCTCATGCAGTATTTGTATTACCCGATTTGAAATCAACCTGCACTATTCTGTGATTAATTCTTTCAGCAGTCTTGGGTTGGGGGGGTTGCTTTGGTTTTTTGATTTGTTTTTAATATTTTTTATTTTCTGAGCTACTGCCTTGGCTCCCATTTCCCACCCTACATCAAGCAGTCACCATGAAATCAGATCACTTGACATTGTTGTCCATTTTATTACCGTCAAGAACCTAGGCAGCCACTTTTATAAAAGAATGTATAATTAAAAAAAAAAAATCGAATTCGAATACATAAAACTAAGGGCAATTACTAAAGGACAAGAAGCAGAAGGAAACAAGTAAATCAGCCCTTCAAATACAAATAAAAGAAAGCCTTAGCAGCTCAGGTCCACCGTAAGGAGTCAATCTGAATTCAATGCCTACAGCTTCCTGTTCGTGGCAGCAGAGTTGGGCAGCTGATACATTCCCCATCCTCACCTAGGAAGTACTCAAGTCCATAAGCGACCAGAGTTCCACGAGGAGCTACAGAAAACAGCTCAAGCAGCAGAGTGCTGGGAACCCTGCCAACCAAGATGGCTCTGCTCCTACCCACCAAGGCAGTAAAGGACTTGCTGAGCTTGACATGAAGCTTGTACAGAGCAGCCCAAATGCCTGCAAATAGAAGCAGCGTTTTGGGCAAGAATGGCAGGGGAGGGGAGTGTAGAATATGTGAAAATTACAGGGAAAGTTTTCTGAACATACTGCATGTTACTGTGTAATCATCTCAACAGATGAATCGCTCTTATTTGCGGTGACAGGAGAAGAAAGAAATCTGCAGATACTTTTCGCATCTCATCTGGAAAGCAAGCTTAAAAAAATATACAAAATATCAACTATGAACCTAATCTAAATGCTTCATCTTATTGATTCCACCCTCATTTTCAGTACTACCCAGAAAAGGGGGGGTTGTCAAAATAAATCACATCTAATGCTCCACCAAAATAATCAAACACTCACTGTCACACAGCAGAGCTCAAATAGCAACCAGTTTTGAAAGTGGTGTCTTGAGGTGTTGAGGTAAGATGGGAGGGAGTAGAAAAGCATCCAGCTGAGGTCTCCGGGTCAAAGGGCAGACTTTGGAGATGTCCAAATGGAAGCTGCACCAGAGTAGTAGCTGAAGTGGAGCTAGTTTGCATCCCAGTCCTTCAGAGCAGAGATGTAGCACTTGGCTGGCTGTACCAGCTTATGTACAAAAAGCACTTGTCACAGCAGGGTCCTTCCAGACAGTGGTTTATTTCACACCTTCATTTTATTTCAAGTCCTCCCAGCAGAACCAGCCTGGCCTCAGGGGAGCTGTGCAGCTGTGATAGCACTGTGCAGCTGGATCCTCAGCGGTCCTGCCCCAGTCCACATCAGGTACAAGAGATGTATGACAGGGTGTGCCATATCTCCTAGCATGTCACAGTTCAGTACATTGCAGACTTTGGTATCCAGGTCTTCTCCTCTGTATCCAAATCAGAGATGTTTTTCTTAATCAGGGTAGGTTTAAACTTAAAAAGAAAAAACACACCCTTCAGTATTACATATTTCAGATTTAAGTACATATGAATTTGAAGATTCAGGTAAAATATTGTTGAAAATTTAAAAAATAGAAACAAATAGTAGAAAACAGGTCAGCCCAAACTCAGACAGTCGTCTGGAGTCTGCACCAGAGAGCTCCCAACTTCTGCTACTCACTTCATGAAGAATTGCCCTCTTCTGCTTTGAAAGTGGCACTCAATGAGCTCCAGACTTCTTGTTTTTTATGGGAAAGAGCAAACAACACACATTCACCTCTTCTATGCCACTCAGTATTTTATACCCCTTCATACAGATCACCAAAAACTTGACAGCAGTAACCACATATTACATATGCTACAGATGGGCTGAGGTATTAGCTTGCCACAAGTCACTTGCAAGCAAAAACGTCAAAGCTTTGCAACTGCCAAAAACACACCCTTGTCAAAAAGGTTTTATTTCAATACAATAATTACTTCAGTTCAGCCGACAGTGGCTACAAAGATCAGAAACTGACGGCCTGCAGAGTGTGTTTTCCTCTACAACTCTGAGTAAACATAAAACATCTGTTCAAAAGAACTCAGTGGATTCAGTTCAATTAAACTGCTTTCAAATGCAAAAGCATACATTAAGAATCCTTTCCGATCCAGCATATCTGGAGCTCTGTTTGTCTCAAAGACAGCTTGTACATTTGAGTTGATTTTAAATTCCTATTTGTAAGTGCAACTTGTATCAAGTCAGAATATATTTTACACCACTCTTGAAATAAAAGTCAAGAATCTGCATGGGTAGACAGGAATATATTACACTAGCTACCGAAATAAAGAGTTAGTGAAATAAAACATCACCTAGATAATGTTTTGGACATTGCGAACTAATATACTTTAATAGTTATTCAATTAGAAATTAGTTTGCCTCAAGTTATTAAATTTCAATATACAGATTTTTAGTATGTTATTTAAATCACTGCTTCTGCTCAATTCAAACAGTGATTAAAATCACTTAAGTCACTTTGATTCAAAATAAAATTCAGCCTGTAAATCAGCTGAAGCTGAGTCACTTGTTATTAATGCAGACATCTCTGAAGGAAAAACTCAGTGTTTTAATGAGAAGGTTATAACCAAGTTTAACCTGCAAGCCATAATGTGATTCATGTCACACCACGCTGGTTTTCTGCCTCTTTCCTGTCCATTAAAACCTAAGCTGTTTCAGTACATTGGCCACAAGTTTATTGAAGGGTTGGCATCAATTTGGGGGACTTTGACAGCTTCTACCTTGCTCCTGTAAAATGCAACAAGCCTGGGCTGGCACAGTCAGCTACCTTGAGAGGATTCAAGGCATATTTGCAGCTGGACTGGGAGGTCCATGGAGCAGGACTGAACCTACAGACTACAGCAGTGAAGTCCTATAGCAGGACTGAAGGTTAGCATGGGAAAGTTTGCGAGGCAGAACCCCAGCCTGGGTTAGTGCTGGTCCCCCTCAGCTGGCACAGGGATTTCTGTGCAGAATTTGGCATGGTTCAGCATCCAAAATAATACACTCCAGAACAGGAGGACAAACAGTGAAGCCAGTACACTTCAGGCAGGACCATGGCATGGCACAGAGGAGCAAGCTGTGCCTAGGCACATCCTATAAAGTGGGCAGGCTGCTGCACTTCATCTCCCTGCCTCTCCTTGCCCATTACAAGAAATGAGGTATCAAATACAGATTTCCAAGATATTTTGAAACTTATTACAAAAGTTACTCTTCAGAAAGCAGAGTTTATCGTACTGACTTATCACAGGCATTGGTGGCAGAGCAAAGAGGCAAGAAGAAAGACTCTCCTTGCATTCAAACCATTACTGCAGAGAAATATTAAGCCACAGCAATTGCCTTTCTACAATTGTTTAGGTGTTTTAGACTTCTACAAGCAGCAGTCAGCCCTGGTAAAGCACCACAAAAGGAGCATCTGGAGACTGGCAGGCTATACATACCCTGGCAAGGGCTCCCCACTGCAGCACTCCTGCTCCTGAAGCCTGTGCCATAGGCAGTCATGAACTCCCTCTGGCCCTTCCTGCTGTTCAGGATACAATATGGTGCTGCTTCTCTTTTTCTTGTTACTGAAAACCTCTCTCTCAGCTCATTCCCATGAGGAAGGTGGAGGCAGCAGTAGGAAGCCAGAACACCAGGCAGCCAAGCTATACATACAAGTAATACCAGTTCAGAAAGGCAATTGGTCCCTTGTCCCCCTCCACACCCTGCATACATGTATGGCCACGGAGGAAAACACAGCCAAATGATTGCACAGTAACCCAAGAAACCCATTCAGGTTACCTCAGCTTAGACAGAAATACCAGTGCAGAAAAGGGTGTGTAATACAGCAGAGGCCAAAAATGTTAATATGTAACTGTAAGAAGGACTTCTGTGAGGTAGCTATTCTGGTTTGCTTTTAATTGTCTTTAATAGTTAATTGATATTATAAGCAAAAACATCAATTTAGAAAAACAAACTGAAAGGTGGCACACAAAGAACTAAGTTATGCCCAAATATCTCAGTCTAAAGCAAAGGGTTGGGGTTTTTTTCATTTGGTACTGTCAGAGGATGCAAAGGAAGCTGACAGTCACTTGGCAGGTTTTACAGAGACAGATTATCTCAGAAGCAACTGATTTACATTTTGTGTAAAGAAACTCTGTGGGCACTGCCTGTGCTTGGAACCACACGCTGCATGCTCGTCTTTAAGGAACTGAGAATATACTTCTTAAAAGCCATTGTTTACATTCAGCTTTACAGACTGGAAAAAGGTTGCATTTAAAAAAGAAATCTAAGGCTCAGTGAGTAAGTTTTTAGTCCAGAGAACTGGATTATTAACAACAGAATCTGCTTCTGGTTGTGTTTGGCTATATTTTGTTTCTTCAATATTCCCAATTTCACGTAACTGGCTGAACCCAAATCAAGCACCCGCAAGCAGCATTATCGCATTATCTTGATCTTCAATACCTTTTAGATTAAGATGAGCAGAGCATGACAGTTATTTCCACTCCAAGTGTAATAGCCTATTTTAATGGCAGCATCTTTTGGACTGGAAAGGGAAGGGAGTGGAATGAAGGGGATCAAGATGATTCTTTGGCAACATGTACATACTGGTGGCAGAAACATTTAGGGTTTTATTGTTTAACCAATATATCCCGTGTAAAACACCAAGGCTATATGGTCCAAATAAAGATTCTTAAGTGTTAAACCTACCAAAACCGTAGAACCTCAAGACTAAACATTTAAGTTGCAGAGAGAGGAAGCAGCACCGCCAGCCACGGCCCACAGCACTCTGGGCACACAGACTGATAACAGGCTTAAAAGAAAAAAACCACCATGGGGCACAAAGTGTCACCCTGTGCATGTATGCGACAGGTCTGCTCCTCTGCGAGCTGCTGCAGCTGGCACGGGCAGTGGAACCGTGCAGCACAGAGATATAGGAGCACCTACATCAAAGTATTACATAGTTCATGTGCCAGCTCCTGAAATCCCATCAGTTTAAAGCTGCTTTACCACACTAAATTGCTTTTTAAAGCTCGGATCCCTTGCAGAAAGCTGCTAGAGACATATTAAAGTAAGTCACTAGTTACCACAAGTTTAGACTTCAGACTTCGGTAATTTAAGACTTTCTCAAATTACGGTTTACTAAATCTATATATGGAGTTCAAACTAAAAACTTTACTGCAAAGCTTTCATTTAGTCTCCTCAAGTGTGGTTCTGGAAGGAGCTGGTAGGTCATCCTATGATGCGGAAACAGACACACCATTTAAAGTATTTAAAAGCCATTCAAACAGCCTGTACATTGTGAAATATGCCTAGAAGAAAGTACCTGCTCTGCTTCTAAACCAAGCTTTCCATCTCTGCAGAACTTCCAGGTCTGTTCATTGATCGCTATCAGCTCCATTTTACAATTCAACAAAAGAGATTTCTTTCACAAGACCTATAGAATGCAAACAGACTGTTTCAGCAGTCACAACCAAAGGGAACTGCTATTGTTTATTTTCAGCACATACCTGATGAGGACCTGAATCACACCACTGTCGATTAAAACAAGCCACCTGACTGTATCTGATCTGTTAAACAGATTCAGGGCCCTGGTTTGCAAGCAAACATTTCAGTGGAACTGGTAGAAATAATGGCCTCTGAGAAAGCCATGGAAGTGAAACTGATTAAAAGTAGAAGCCAGACATACAAATCTTTAAGACTAATACCCAAGAGGAATAGATTCTATGATGTCAAAACCTACACATCAGAAATTATTATCTGATAGCATAAAGACTATGCTGAAGGATATTTGTCAAAGCTCACAATAAGACAGTAGGATAAGGATACAATCAACCCAACTTGTCTGAAACTATAGTCTAGCATGCTGCAAAAAGTCAAATGCATCTTTCAGCTTTACATGCCAATAAAAGCTGCTGCTTTACTGTTTGTACACATTTTTTAATTTCACTTCATTTTCAGCACCCAGATAAATTTGACAAAATCAGATTTTTATCATATGGCTGGATTTGAGTTGTGCTTTCTACTACACCTCTTAGAAGACCATAAGCACAAAAGACCATGCATAAAACTACACACTATGCAGAGCATAAAGAACAAAACTACAGCAAAGCACCTTACCAACCTGTAACAAGAAATGTCTTTCTAGAATTACATTACAGAAGGGAGAACAGATCTACCCACACAGCTTCTGGAAACACACGCATTACTCTCTCTCCCCCCTCGCCTTTTTTTTTTTTTTCTTTAAAAAAAACTAATCAGCAGATATAACGCAAAAATATGTCGTTGTACTTGTCCATGTATTGCACAGATTAAGACGAGACCTTACAGAAAACTTCATAAAGAATCTGTGCCACGCACCACGCGGTGTAAGCTCCCTGCCGGCGCCTCGGCAAGACACGACACACAAATCCAGAGGTGTGCTAACTAACCTTGAAGCGTACAGACGCTCACATGAGTACATGTAGGCAATATCCATACCTTGCATATATTTAAGCACACGGAGAGGCGCACAAGGTGCGGAGCTGCAGCACCTGCACTGCCCAGGGCTGCGGCACCGCAGGGCCGGGACCGGGAGCCAGCCCCTCGCCTTCCTGCTCACCGTCACCGGGCAGCTGCTGCCGGGGGGGACCCTGGGGAGAGCGGCAGTTTACCAGAGCTGCAGGAAGTTTCGCTCTCCGGGCTGCCGGCAGCACAGTAACTCGGCCACCGCTTTCACCGCGCCCGCAGCAGAGGTGCTCCCACCGCCGGCCCTGGACGTGACGGCCCCCACCCTGCTCCCGGTGCCGGGGGCTCTGCCCCGTCCCCCTTCTCCCCCTTCCCCCGCGGCCCCACTCACCAGCAGCCTCCGGAGCGCCGCCGCTGCCGCCGCTCGGGCCCGCCCGTCCGCCGCTCCCCGCCCCGCTCCGCGTTAACCCGCCCGGCGCTGCCCGGCCCCGGCCTCGGCACCTGCGCCGACGCCAGCGGGACAAATTGGTTGGGTGCGTTTGCCTGCTCCCTGGTACCAAGGTTTGGAGCTTCCGATGCGGGCAGAGAAAAGGCACAGCACACAGGACCCTGGAGCACCTAGAGCTATGCGAGTCTGAAGGACTGTACTGCCTAAAAAGCCTGTTCGAAGGTCCACAAGTCACACTTTGGTAAGCAAAACCCAAATAAACCAGCAATAACTTCCATGAGTAGATCAGGACAGCACAGACAGGTACGTGTGCCACTTCCTTCCAGCACCACAGGCAGCTGTTCTTTCAAACATGTTTGATTTTTTTGCACTAAGAACCACCTCACACCCAATGCTGATACAGAAACATTGAGGCTTGTGTCATCTCCAAAGGGCAGGACCAATCACACACAGCTCTGCTGTGAAAGACAAGCTGAACTCCAATGTAGGAGATGGTACACAATCAAATTTAGCTAAAGATCATGATCAGATGGATCTGACCCATTGCTACCTACCAGAACCATTTACTGAGACCAGGCATATACCCAAGGAGTACAGAGGTACTCACAGGTCTGCTAAGAGCTGGAGAACTGGCAAAAGAAAATCTCAGCAGAAAATCTCTCCTCCACTTCTCAGAAATCCTGGTAATGATTACAGCATGAAACAGAGACACAGTGTTAAAAACTAGGTGGAGCCTTGCACATGAACATTATACATGAAATGCTAAACAAGCCTCCATGCCAGCAGCTTTTTGCCGGTTTATCCATAAATGGAAGTTGTCCCCCCCCAGAAAGGAACCCAAACTCTTCACCACTCTGTCCCCCTCACTTGAATGCTCACTTTACAGATGGCTCGGGAAGCTTTCTTCTCCTCCTTCTGCTTGTTTCTAATGTAACTTCATCACTGCCTTTCCATCCACTTCTGTCCTCCTTTTTAAACTTCTATGAGCAATTAGCAAAAGCTTGTTATTCCCAGGGAACATGGCAACCAAACAGCTTATCTTTCAGAACACTTTGCAAAACCTTATGCTCCAGTTCTGCTTCCACTACTGTGCATCACTTCCTTAGCAGCTGGAGTGGGACCACCTATTGTATTCCAGTCTGCATTAATGCACAGAATGAAGAGTCAACACATGTCAGATTTCCTGTTAAATTTAACCTCTATGGAACACAGAGCCAATCAAAAGCTCCAGCAACTAGCTCTTATCTTTTTTCTAAGAGAAAAAAAGCCTACCATAGACAGATGGTGAAGACACAAATTGGTTTCTGTAATACGTTAATGACCTGCTCTAACATGGTAGGGCCAAAGCGGGAATCCAGCTAGCAAGCAGCTCATATGATAAAAAGTAATTTAAAAATCAATAACAGTCAAGAAGGCTTTATGATACAATTATAGAAATTAACTCCTAAAATCAGTGAGAATTCTAAGTATTTTCTATATTCCTTTGGTTGACAATACTTTCCCTCATTCCCCAAGGATTCTCTCACAAAGTATTTATCTGAGCAATGGCTTTGACAGGTCACACTCAGTGTCCTACTAAATCAGAAAGGAACAGCTTGAGTCAGAGCCTCTGGGCTCATTCACCAGGGCCCCCAGTACTAAGTGTCCAGGACGTACCTCACTCGCTTTAGGGAGGAGAGCACACTAGATCTCAGAAGGCAATCAGCCTGTCACACTGTTCATAAAGCAGAAAACACCAGTATCTTACACATATCAAGATTGTACACTGCATGGGACAAGAAACTTTATCATCAACCAGTTAACATCTTTTGCTGCCTGCTTAAAGAGCACTTTGTTTATGCAAGACCCCAGAGCACACACTGAAAAACTAACAGTGACCCCAACAAACTGTACGTGTGAACACAGAGAGTAAAACTGGCATATCCTGAGTGGAAAGCAGTAATCCCCTGGTTCTAGATCACACAATTAGCATCTGTTTGATGAAGAGTTACAGAAATCTTTGCCTGACAGTGTAAAGTCTTGGTTATAGGTAGCAATGTAATTTTTAGCCACAAGCTGTAGTGACAGCTCAGGCCACAGCACGGCATTGCTCAGACTGGGAACAGGAAGATTTTCTATCAAAGACATTTCATCAAGAGAAGCACCAAAATTTGCAAAGCCTGGCTACATGGCAACACTGAGAAAAAACCATCCCTCTCAGACATCTAGCAGCAGCCTAAGCAAGACAAAATGGCATCAATTTCCAGCAAAAGTACTCATTATCAAGAATGCAAACTCTAGGCAGGAAAAATTTGAGTAACACCACATCCTTCCAGAGCTCAGCCACCACCGCTCCCACCAGTGGCCAGAAATACTGCTGGAGAAGCTGCAAACCTCCCCTTTACACATCCCAGAGATGCGGACAGGCCTGTTAAAAAAAAAAATAAAATGATTTTCAACCTACCAGAAAAGGTGAATCCAGAACCCCCCCCCCCCCCCCCCAGTTTCTTATGAGGGAAGAAAGAAATAAATTAAGAAGCTGCCATTCACCTTACTCCCACCAGGACAGCATTCCAAACTGCCTTTGCCATCTGAAGCACTAAGAAGCCAGAACTTCCCAAGTCAACCCCTAGCAACTAAAAACACGTTATCAACACCAAGTTCCAGTCAACACACTCAGGCTGAAGTGAACATCATCTGCTACAGGAAGTATTTCTAGGGAGCAGATAGCCCCATTCAGACAAAGTGGAACGTCTAACATAATAGTCCATCCAACCCTGGGGCAGTCAGTACCACAAAGTTTTCCAGAGCATCTGGTTAACACCATGCAGTACTATACTGGAAGTGCTTTAAAGCTACAGGAAGTGCACTGTTCTCATTGAAATAAGTTTATAAAGATCAAAGGGTGAAATACAGTACTTCAGAGATGATCATCCCAAAGACACCTGACCAAACCAACTGCCAGGCTCAGTTGTTACATACTTTCTTCCAATGAACATGTGCTTGAAATAGAAGTAATTAGGCAAGTCAACTCCATGGCATTGTTTCTGCCCGAATTTGTCCTCCAGGTTCTGGCAGCACAACAGTGTAATACTAATAAATCAAAAGTAAGTTTAAAAAAAAGGCAACAATCTTTTCATCATCTTTCATACAATGCTTGCCAAGGAAGTTTCCAACCATGTAAAAACTTACCTATAGCTGAAGCAGTAAATTTAATTTGGACACAGTATGACAATATTGTAGGTATAACAGAAAAGACTCACAGACAAAGACAGGATAACAAACTGCTTTTGTTTTTAGTAAAGCTGTTAAAGAAAAGACTAATCTATAGATGGTTTGTGTTAAAACAATATACAAGAGGGAGAACAGCAATTGTTTTGCACTTTTGTGCAGCTCTGTAGTTGTACATAGATTTATTTCAAGGAAATTAATTGTGCCAAGTAGACATTACAGGCCAAATGCATAATTTTAAGTGGAAAACTGCTCTCTTCTTTACTGCCTTTTAGTATTTTTTAAACAAGGAATTATTTCTTTAAAATTATTTTCATGTAATTCTTATTAACAACAACAGTTCATTCAAGGCCACTTTCCTTCCTCCTAGAGGCAATTAGAAAACAGGGCTCCCACAGACAATGCTCAAGTATCAGTCTTCTCCCATGCGACAGAATGTAGGGCAAGAATACAGAGTCCTTCACAGCTCTCCTCCAGTTACAGGTTCTGGGCTCTCCTCCTGGTCAGCCACCTGAGGTCACACTAGCAGCTTTGCTTCCCCCAGCACCTTCAATTAGGTAAGATTAGGTTGTCCACTGTGAGGAAGGTCCAGATAGCAGGGTTTACTGCAATTTGTAGAATTATTCTTCTCCATACAGCTATTCTTTCTTTGCATATCCAGTGAGGAATTTCAACTTGTAATCAATTAATAAGTATCAAGTTGTCATCACTCTGGTGTCTGCAAAAGAAAAAATTTTAAGTTTTAACTCAGCAAGAAATGCATTTACCCATAGAAAACCAAGTTAAAATTTGATCCTTCTGCTCTGCATGCTCCCATTTTAGCAAGCAGCTACAGCACTTGCATCAGGACAACCAAGCAGAAACTGCTACAGTAGCAAGAGCTCTGTATTTTCACTTCAGCTACCAGGCTTGCACTCTCAACTCTCTACAGTAAAGCATATTTATTATGCTCGAGCAGACAAAAATCTCTTATCCTGCACAACGACTTGGATGTGAAATCTGAAGCTGTACCTGGCTGGAGTTCTTGTAGTTAGTTGACTTTCAAGTGCCCACAGCAGCTGCTGGGATACCTGCCAACCCTGCCAACCATCATCTCGCATGCTCCCTTTTAGCCACGAGGCTTCCTTCTGTCAGAATACACCAAAAGTATAAAGATGCACTTCACAAACCCTCAGTATGTAAGTAGCAGTACCCCACTGCTAAAACAGGATTTGTTACATCAGTTTTGATCAAGTAAGTGCTCATGTTCAGCTCTATTTCTCCCAGAGCCTGGCTTCCCTACAAAACACCCACAGCTGTTCTGCACTCAAGCATGAATTCTCCTGAACTGCCTAGGGACAGCAACAAGATCTCTCCCCTCTCGATCAGGCATTCTGAGGTGTGTTAGGTTTCCTCAGAAACAGAATTCAAAGAATCTACTTCCAGACCAGCAAGCACAAAGCGAAATGCTCATCTCTCACTAACACCAGCTTAAAAACCACCACTAAGACCTCCAAGGGCCTGAGTTTGGTGGCATTAAATGAGTTTGTCTTATAGACACAGCCTAGTTTTGGGATCAAGTACTACTCCCTGGCTGAAACACATACTCTTGCTTTCTGCTACTATCCCCAGCCTAGTTGAAAAGCTTTGTAGAAAAAGCCTTGCAAAACACTAAGCAGGAGAGATTTAGTTTGCTCCTGACTCCTTGGCAGTTCCATGTTTTACTCTGCAGTTCTCCCATCAAGTTACACCAGTTTCTACATGGTAGTTTTCATATCAACAGAACACTTAAAACATGCATTTAAGCTCAGAATTGCCACCCCCGCACCATCGGCAGACTAGAGATCTAACAATGGGCAAAACCCAGGAGAGAAACCGTGTCCAAATACTCCATGGGATGAATTCTGGATGCTCCAGCATTTATGACACAGCACTTTGCAGTGAGAAGCTAGCTTATGTACTTCCCAAAAACACATTGAAAACGCCCTACCCACCTCCCACAGCAGCAGACAAGTGGCATGGAAGTCCTTTCTTTTCTGTAACCAGCACTGCCATGGTCTTTCAGAAATTCATGGAGATCTGTTACTGGAAACCCATTTTGCTGGTATTTCTGGAAGAGAAGGCATTTTATTTACAATACATGACAAGTTACTGCACATGAGGTGTTCTAAAGTTTCCTCTAGACTGTGACAGTCAAAGTCAGTCTATTTGGTTCATTTGTTCAGTATTGTTGTCTGACAAAAAACCTAAAATCCCACCCTAGAAACGCCACATAGGTAGCTGGTGGAACAAAGCAATCTAAGTGACATAAAATTGACATTGCTCACAAATTCCTTCACCTTTCATTTGCTGTTTATAAGAAACCAAGCAGCTGATCTCAGGTCATACTGGCAATGTTTCTCCCTTGTTCACATCAGCTGCTGTACTCACTGCAAGTGCCCTGGGCTCATTTTTCCCTAGGATCCTCAATGTTGGATTTGAAGAGCCCTAAATGTGAATATCCAGGATTGCCATGCTTATGAAAAGCTCTGTGTAACACCAGTTCAGCACACTGAAACGGCTCCCCACTGATCTACATGCAGTGCTCAGAGGGAACAGTAAAACACCATTTTGTGGGTCTGACCATCCAATAAGCATAGACAGGCAAGTTGTATTTTGATATGCTCAGGAAGTGGAGCTCTTGCCTGGTGTGGAAGGTGTGGTTCATGTCAGACCAGCCTTATTCTGATAGCCTGTTTACCTGACACTAAGAGAAGAAGGGGATGCGAACTAAAGCATGATCCACATTGCCTTCCCACTGGTTACTGCAGCTACCAGGAGCACAAATGGGAAACAGCACAAGGACAAAAGGTAACTACTAGAAACCTCATTTCCGTTTCTGCCAGTTTATACTGGAACTGGATGGCACAATTTTAACTTGAGTGAGAAGTACTGGGTCTTTTAGAAGATACTTCCTTTTAGACACACATTTCCAAACAGCACATTAAGCAAGTGTGGACACCTAAATGAGCTTAGAGTTATCTGCTTGGCCCTTGCCACACTCCTGTCAAGGGGATATTTTTTAGGAGGCCAGCAAAGTCTTCTTGACCTCAGCTTCTGAGGCCATGAAAAGAAATGTTCACTTCAAACAAGCCTTACCCAACTCTGTATAACTAGACATAAAACTCTTTCCACTCACGCTTTCATTAACTGCTACTCTTTTGAAACCAGGTGAAGCAGCAGAAAATATAAACAGGGACACACACTGAGGATTATTTTCCAAACCAATCATTGCTTAGCCATTTGGATGACTACCCAGCCATCCTCCCAATTTCACCAGAGATTAAGCTAAAAGATGTTAATAGTCTTACCAGTCATCATGCCTAATGCTAGGTACTATGGTGTTGAGTGATTAACAAGAATGAGTACCAAACTGGTTAGAAATGTAACAGAAAACAACTGTTTTACCTTTATGGTGTCATAAGAGTCAGTAATGAGTGCAATAAACAGGCTGAGGATCATGTATATAAACAGACTGATGAAGGAGTACAGATACAACCGACTGAACATCCACACCAGCATGCTCTTCTGCTGGATTTGAGCAAACGTGGCAAACATATCATCACCGTTGACCAAAGAAAACAGACACTCAGCCACAGTGTTCAGATCTTCAAACTAGAAAGTGAGTAAAAATTATTACTAGAATATGAAGAGCAATCAGCTGGATTAAAGGGCAAGTGGGGGGAAAAAAAACAAACCCAACCAACCAACCCACCCAAGCAACACACAGCCAAATCAACCTTTTCTACAACAGAATTTTACTTAGAGAAAGCAACCAATCCAGTCAATCAAACGCTACCACACTCTTTCCTGTACATACAGGCCAAAGCATACATGTCAGTAATAAACATTTAGAAAATAATCAAGGGCTAAGCATTATATATCAACAGCAGAATTAAGATTATTTATTATCAAGAAATAAACTTCTGATGCTCAGTGGCAAAATAGTCAATAACTGACCACCACAGGAAGTTCAAGTTATTGAATTTTAATCTATTTTAGACCTTCAGGAAGATATAATTTCATTTGCAGATAAAGTGATTTCACAGAATCTATACAGTAAATCAGTGGTATGCTGGAACAGAATCCGCATCCTCTGGTTTCCCAGCTCTGCAGCATTACTGCAGTATGGGTAATTAATATTGTATTAAGCAGTTAGAGATAGCATATAACCTTCAGAGTTCAAGTGGTCTAAGTTAAATTTCTTGCAACAACATCATCATCTATCTGTCATTCAGAAAGCCCTCTCTGAGCTGTAGGTACAACCTATAGCTGTACTGTGAAGCTACTGAAGCATACCCTGGACAAAAGCATGTATTTGTTTCAAGAACATTATCTTAAATTCCTAACTCCACTTCCCCAAGCTGGAATATACCCTGAGGCTAAATTCCATTCAGCCACCAGGTGAGCAGATTTTCCTCTCTTGCTCTGCTCCCCTCCCCTCCTCAAATACTGGATTTGTTAACTATACTTTATTGAACAATATGGATTGATGCACAATGTTTTAATGTGGGTATTAGCAATGAAGAAACATGAATACACCCACTTACACTGGGCCCTAAGTTGAAAACAAGATGTCAAGAAGCGTATACTTATATGGAGAACATACTGTTGCACAGGAACAGTAGGTATGCTTTTACCTATGGCTTATAATTAATAATGTTGAGGCCATTATGAAACCCAGCAGTACATTATCTCGTAAGAAGGGAGACATTGGACAGGTAAATTCTGAGCAACCCACAGTTTTGACACACTGGCACAGCAAGTCCCCTGCTAAGGACTGCTCACCTGCAAGACTCTGCACTGACAACACAAAATGCGGGATTCCCACTCCCTCTCTCCTGCTGTAGTAGAGGAAGGAAGAGCAACATTGGTATTCCCATGTTTCTGAGCACAAGGATCTCTCTCCTGTGCACCTGCTCATTAGGAAACGCTCTTCCCACTTCTCAACCCGGGATAACGGAGCGGCTCGGGGCTCGTCCGGCTGTGCGCGGAGCCACACTGCCTCCCAGCGGGGAGAAACGGGAACCCCTCAAGTACAGCTGCTTTTCCTTCACGTTGGTCTGTGGCATTTAGCAAGAGCTACGATTTTCATAGAAAAGCGTATTATTGACCACATATCCTTTTGCTCAGATAATTAATGTACTTGCTGCAAGGATGCTACAACAGTATTTATGCTGTGCCCATTATAATCAATTGAGCCTCTAGTATGACAGAGGATCCCGCTGCAGCCAGCAGCCCACAGAACAATGTGGTGTCATCAATTCAAAACATGGGCAGGCAGAATGCCTACATTTCTCAGAGATTCACATTGCATTAGAGGAATCCCAGCTATATACAGTGTATATATATATATATATCTATATATCCAGTATATCCAGTATATCATTGGAGATCAAGAATGAGAATTTATACATTTGTAACTCATTAATGGACATCTAGAATTTATCACAACAGGAATCTGATTTTTTTTTGAACTGTCATATACTGCATCCACCAAGAAAACACAAAACAAAACAAGCTTTACAGCTGTTTTGCTGGTGTTTTGGAACATACAAAGCCTTACTCCTGTACCTCTCAGACAAGGCAACACACCAGGCACACAGTCCAATACTGACCCTAAGAAAACCCCACAAACAAACCAGCAAACAAACCACAGCACAACAACAAACCTAAAGCAGCCAAACAAGAAACCCACAACACACCCACACACAGGAAGCAAATTAAACAAGACAAGCATTCATCCACCCCTTTACGAGTCAAGATTCAAGAGCTGGAGTTACATGGCACAGGAAAACTTTGGAAAAACAAAGTCAGAGCCAAGGAGATTCCCAGAAATGTCAACAGTGACCTCAGTCAGTGCCTCTTCAACTCAACTGAACTGGGATTGCCAGAAGAGGGCGAAAGAGATACAGACCTTTGCCCTCGCCTTCAGACAGACATTACCCAGATAGACCACTCGTTCATCACAAACACAGCCTTGTACTGGAGATTACACTGAGTTCAAGCGCACAGTGAAAGCAAGAATACAGTTCCTTTGTTAAAAGGGCGGGAGGTACACGTGGAAGGAGAAACACTCCCATGTTTGTCACATTACAGCTGTTAAACACACACATTAAGACCCATTTCTGTTGTTACAGCTAGGAGCTATAGACAAATACTTGCACATCATACTAGGAAAGGAGTAACACTGCTGACATACCTTTTCATGATAAGGTCCCAAGACAATCCAACCACAGAAAGTATAGCCAAGATAAATCATCCCAGCACAACAACAAAACCTTAGCACTTTGGGTAATGATGCCTGCATAGTTAAAATAAGCACCTACAAGTTAGGGTGGAAGAAAGAAGGGAAGAAATCCACAAGTTAGAGACGTGAGTAAGTGACAAATATAAATACATGCTTTGATTGTTAAATATTTGGTTTCTGCCTTACATTGTAGGTTTGAAAATATCCCAGGTATCTGATGACTCCAACCCAGACAAACAAAGTTGATGTTCCAAGTAAAATGCTGCAGACATCGTAACTTGCAAGGTTCTGAGGGATCCAAACAGAGCAGGCGGTCAAGTTACAAAGCAGTAGGTATGTCAGCTTGATAGCTATTTGAGTTCCACCAGTTCAAACAAAGCAGGGCAGTCCAATATTGAAAGGATGTTGCTACATCACAAAAATCAGACCAAAGTGAACTGCAGTTACTTACTGAGACCACTCAAATGTAACAGTGCTGCAAAGGAAAGCACATCTGTGCTGATACTCTTCAAGTTTGATCATGCAAAGTCTGGAATAATTACAGCCCTTTCATTATAACACAGACTATAAATTAGCTTTAATACCTCCCAGGTTTTGCTTATAAAAAGCAGTTGTTAGTGAATGAGAGCTTGTTTGCCTATTTAGAAAAACACAAGCCATCATTTAAATGAAAAGCAAGCCTCGGGACTACAGCCCTTTCCATGCTACTACACACATTCACATCTCTGAGCAGGTTACCAGCTGTTCAGAGCCTGAACATCATTTTTACTACCCGTGAAGTTTATAACCAATTCCATTTACATTTTACTTTACAAGGCTAGAGCTGGTTACAATAAGCACAAGATATCTATCTAGATCAAGATTTCCTACCCTCATCCCCCACCTTGCCATACAGCTGGAGGTTGTCAAGTGCTTCCTATTAGGGGCACTCTGGGCATCTGCCCTTTGAACCTTAGTACACACTGAGCAGGAGCAGCACAGTACCTAACCCTGTTTTTCCCAGAATACAAGGTTTTTTGAACATGTGAATTGTTGACATACAGCTCTATTGGAGGAAAAAAAAGGCAAGTAAACAAAACTCCCAAACCAAAATTCCCTTGCAGAGCTGCCAGCTGGACAGATACTGATTTCAGCAAGCCCAGTCTAGGAGGGTCAAGGACCAGCAGGTGCCACTGTCTGTGCCTGTAGTTTGGACAGGGCAGGAAAGCAAGCTGTAATAGTCATGATTCTAACAAGCTGTCAGAGCTCTGTTTTATCCCAGGGTATGACTCTTGTTTCCCTGTGCGGTAAGTACTGCTAATTCTCTCAGAAACAACAACCCAAGTTGTTTTAGGGTTTTTTTTTACTTGGTTGATTAGGAACTGTTCATCCACAGGCCCTATACCAGGGTGAGCACTGTGGAAATAAGACGTTTAAACAGCTTACATGGTCTTACTGAAAGATTTTGGGAAGAGTGACTGAAACCAGTTGTTAGTCCAACAAGTGCTAAGAAATAACAACTAGCAAAACCAAAGAAGATTACTAGTGACTGTGACAGCTCACTTTCACTTGTCCCCAAACTGTCCCCAACATTACATATGTTCGTAACCAGCCTAATATTTTATCTGAAGTATTAAACTCTCACCTTGGCTTTTATTTCCATTTTTAGGATTGACCCAATGATTGTCATCACATCACTGATAATTACCAGGACATACCATCCATTTATGAACTCCAGGCGATCAGCATGACAGACACGACGCTTGTATTTCTCCAAGAAGAAGTTCACAAATCTCTATTGACAAGCATTTAGGTGTTAGTTACAGGTCATCTTAGATGAAAAATATGTACAGTTGCCCAGTAGTGTAGCAGTACTCAACTTTGAGATACCCCCTTTTCCTATAGTGCTTGCTGGAATAATAGCTTTAAAGTCATTCTCAATAGCAAAAGAAATAAATGGAGAAAACTGAAGAACTGTTTAGACCAGTGACAACCAATTTCCACAGAACAGCTGACTTCATAACAAACCCCCACTAGCCTAACCATGGCTTGTTATCTGCTCTTCAGCCCTCTTTGCAAGAGTTTCTGTCCACCTCCAACAGAGCAAAACCACTCAACAAACAAGTGGAAAAGAGAATTAATAACTCAAGGAGAGCTCTAAAGCAAGAGCTCTCACTTCCAATACAGCTAGCAATATTACTTCCCACACCCAACACTGCCCATCTGATTTCACTTGCTCTGTTTGCTCATGAGTAAATGCTGATGGCCCTATTGCTGACATCAGTTTGACAATGCCTTTACTGAGCTGCATTATCTTCACCTATCTTGTTCAATGTAACTTCTTCATAGCTTTTAAACGAGACAAGTATTAGCGCTTTCCTATCCTACCTATCCTGAACTCTTTTTCCAACTCTCACAAGTCACATGCTTGTGAAGTTTTTATCAACTAGCAGTTACAGGCTGGCACATCTCAGGGACCAGATTGTGTTTTTGCATTAGCATCTGGACCAGAAGAGCCAAGTCTGCTGATACGCAGCTGTGCAAACAGCTTGAGAGGGCTAGTCTCAGCCTGCAAATAAGGGCAAGTGGGGAAGAAGGTGCCAGCAGACTGATCAGGGATTTTTTGGGGGAGAAGAAAAAGAAGAACTGAAAAAGGGTGGTTCCAGCCCCAGAAAAACAAACACCCAGCCAGTTAGACTATGTGTTACGCTTCACATTTTCTCCAGTTAGAGCTGGCTTGAAGGGATGTTCATTAAAGCACTAATTGGACAAAACCTCTATGGGAATTCTGCTCTGAAGCAGGGAAGGGAGAATTCATGTTTTGGAAGTGCAGGATATGTTGGTTGTTTGGAGCATAAAGACCTGGAAGCCTTGTGTAAAATCCTGGACAACAACAACAAAAACAAGAAGAAAAAACAGAAAAAACTTACACCAGCAAACTACAAGTCTCCTTTTTTTGGCCTTGAGAGATACAACAAAATACTTCATATTACAGCACTACACAAACAGCTAGCAACTGTTCACCACAGACATATATACATCCTCTCTAGAGATAGGGATAACAGTAAGAGAGCAACACCCTGCAAGGTATTTACTACTTTATGTTTCAAACTGTATTACTTCACAAGACCAGCAGCAAACAAAACAGACAAAGCAAGCATGGAGATTGTGAGCACTGAACTTACCTTTTGTAGTTTCATGGCAAGAACAATAGATCGTGTGCAAAGGATGAGAGAAGCAAAGCAACTTAAAATGACAAATCCATCAAAGGCTAGAATATATTGAGTGTTTTTCTGGAGAACTGTATAGTCAAGGAAAGGAAGTACAGTTAGTCTCCTCATATCCGAGCACAAATTGTTATGAGATGTCCCCTATTTTGCATTTAAACACTCTTACCCCATAAATAGATAGGTTATAAGAAATATTCTTCCTAGAAGCCTATTATAAGCACAACTGATCAGAGAATTACATGAAAACAGCTACAGACTGGACTACAAGAATGAAAAGTATGTTCAAGTTCTTCAAAGTAAAACCAATAAATGGGCATATTAACACAGGTGTCCCTTTTTTCCTGTAAGTTTACCTGTCCATTTGTGCTCCAACAGTGTTACAACTACACAGGCTAAAAGAAATGCAGATTTTGGCCTGTATCAACATTAAATTAAAAAGTAAATAGATAAGTAAAATCCTGCCTTGTTTCTCATTCCTTGACCTGCAATCACAAACTTGTTTGACTTTCTGTACTGTATTCTTTTCCTCCACAGCTTTAGAAGCCCTCATGGGAACTCAAGCCAGGTGTTTTCCTTTGCTTACTCATATCAATTGTCCCTACATCTTTCATCAAATAGATTTTAACTATAGAAAACTAAAGGGAAACACTTAATTGTTGCAGTAACACTTCAGTTTACCACCTTTATTACAGAATACTGTATGCTCCTTCTGCTAATTACATGCAAAATAAAGAACAGCTAGTTGAAAGACAGCCGTAAGAATTTATTGTATACAGACGCAAGGCAAAATACTTTGCAGTTCTTCAGAATGTACTATAAGATACCACTTTAATATCAGTACAATATGGTATTATCAGATAAAAGCTAGCTTTGCCCAAGCAAAAGGCAGACCATCTGACACATTTGTTAATCAAGATACTATATAGCACAGTGCTGTAGATATACATATATATTAAACTATCACTCCACCACAGTCCTTTACAGCAAGTCAATGCATGGGAGAAGCAGTTGCAGTGTTCAGTCACAGCTTCTATTCTTCTGAGGGGGCCTTCAAAGCATATTTCTTAGCTGTCAGACCAAGCCCTAACATTACAAATACAAGGCAGATACCACCCTATGCTCATGCACATCATTAAACCTAACAGCAATGGCACAAAAATAAAATCCTTACTTTCAGAAAAAGAAAGGCTCAATTATAGGGAAAGAAAGGAAAGCTGCAGAAGGTTTGAGTTAGGAATTCACCATTGTTAATGCACTAAATTATCTGAGCAATCTCAGAGCAGCAGAACAATTAAAAACTATAGAATACATGCTCATCCTCCTTCCAGTTACAGCTTGCTGCTAATACACACCAGCATAACAGAGCTACCCATGTCATCTCACCTCAATACCCTCACAAAAAGGAATTATTTCCCAGCTGATGACTTGTGCAAGACAAGCTGTATTGTCTTGTTTTAAGAGCTGGAGGAGGATGAACAGGATGGGGAGTATCTCACTGGACAGACTGTTACAGAGCAGGGGAAGTGACAGGAGATGCATAACACTGCTATCATGCAAACACACATGCACCATACTTACCAGAGCTAACTATGTGCCAGTCTTTACATTCTTGAATATCAGTGTCACTATCAAAATAGATTTTGATTTTCCCACTGTGGGCTCTGTTATTGAAAGTTATCTGGAAACACAGAAGTGTATCAGAAACAAGACTAGTAAGATTTCCTTCCAGAGAACAAATCCTGCTAAGTGCTTTGACATAGTATGTATTAATACTTGTTGGTCAGGTAAGCTTTGACAAAGCTGTCAGCATACATTGTGTGTAGGCATAATTTCAGAATATGTCATGTATTGCATAAAAGGTAGCATTTCCAGAAGCCAAACTTCGAGTTTAACCTTTAGAAGAGCAACAATTATTTATATGTTTCCCAGGTTATGAAGTTATCAGCTGGAATATGTTACAAAACAATACTGTCCCATGGAAACACTATTTCAGCAGCCTTTGGGAAGTAGGGCTGAGGGCCAGGACATGCTCAACTACTTCTCCCTTGCAGCCTTGCTGGGAGGATGATGCCTGCCCCTTAGCTTTAGCTCTTATATATCCAGTGTTGGAAGTGCAATACCTCGTATTCACTTACAGTATTTTGAAATGCATAGCAGTCAGGCAGTTCACGGGCATGGATGGTCTGTAGGGCAATGCCTTTCAGCTTGAAGGAGATTTCAACCTGTATAAGCCTGGGTGTTTTAAAAAGTATATTAAATACAAGACAAACACATATATGCATATTGCATCAGTCAGAATCCACCATATTCATGTGAAAGGACAAGTTGAAATACAGAAAATCTCCACCACCACCTTACCTGTAAAATTCAAGACTGAAGAAAGAGGAGTTCAGCTTCAGTTGAGCCTTCTTACCAGCTAGCTCCTGTGGCTTTAAAAAGATACATTCTGGAAAGTAAAGAGGACAAGCTGTAATCTTAAGATTTTTGTATAGAAAACATAATAAAACTGAGCTAATCAGACTGAAGGGCAAGTCCTGATCATGCAGAGTGTTAGTTTTAAGCCAAGCTATCCATACAGAGGCCCAGTTAGCGAGCTCAGAAGCAGGTTCATGTATGATTTTGTGAGCAGTTAGCAGCCAGGACTCAGCTCCAAGAGGCAGGAAGGACACCCAGCCACTGAGTGCGCAGAGTGACCAGCATCCAGAATCCTGTATTTGAACCCGCTTCTTGGAGAGGGGGAAACAACCAGAGACCTCCACAATCCACTAATGACAGGAGTTGAAAAGAACTTCCTATAACTCTACACAGCTGTCATTTCTAGGCAGGTACTAAAAACCAAGGGAGAAATGGGGAAGAGGAGTAGTAATGTTCATGTGATTGCCATGAAAAAAGCTACTGGTTTTAAACTTCACTGCATTAGCATTAGAATATAAGTACTGCACAGCAAGACCCTTTTTAGTACAACAGTACCATACCTGTTTCAGTAGAAACATCTATGTTCAGTGAATCATTGGAAGGGAGCATTGTGCCTTTCTTGTACTGTTGTTTACAGATTTTTAAACCTGATCCTTCATGTTCATAACCAAGGGTCCCCAGGGATACATTCTTTAATTGCCTGTACTGGTTTAAAAACAAAACAGAAGCATTAAGTTAGAGATAGCTATCTTTTTTACATTAAACAGTAACTTGTAATCTCAAAGTAGTATGTATCAATACAGCTTTTTACATTAAAAAGCTAAAAATAAAAAATCTTCACTTTCACATAAAGTCTGTAAATTGAGAGTGGACCTCACATGGGAAGCTAAGAAGGCTGCTGGCCATTAATTAGTAGTGATTGGCATCCTGGTGACAGTGACTTGGAGCCCAGTGCCCACTGGACTGACTGCAAATGCTTACCCACATGCCAGACAGCAAGCCAGCACACAGCTTTTAATGAGATGCCCGGCAGCAACTTCAATGTAGTATTGCTGCTAACCATACACGCTCCAGGGATATCTGATGTATTCATCTCATGAAGGTGTTAAGTTTTCACACCACTTGAAACTCTTATTGCTTTGTGTACAATCCAAGTCACAGTTCTTATCAAATCCACCCCCAGAGCAACACCAACCTGCTCCCTGTGCAGTGACAGAGGCGGGAACCACGTGTTCACCATATAACCGGCAACCAAGGAACACACACAGAGCTTGGGCAGCCTCCAAGAGTAATTTAACCTGCCTGCTTTACACAAGCATACAAGTGTCCTGGTTTCAGCTGGGATAGAGTTAACCTTTTTCTCCAGCAGCTGGTGCAGGGCTGTGTTTTGGCTTTAGTCTGAGAACAATGCTGATAACACACTGATGTTTCAGTTGCTGCTCAGTAGCACTTACCCTGATCAAAGACTTTTCACTCTCTCATGCTCTGCCAGTGAGGAGGGGCACAAGAAGCCAGGAGGAAGCAGAGACAGGACAACTGATCCAAACTAGTCAAAGGGATATCCCATACCACAGCACATCATGCTCAGTATAAAAACAGGGGGCAGTTACCTGGAAGGGGCCAATTACCACTCAGGTTGGGCTGGGTATCATCAGCAGGTGGTGAGCAATTGTATTGTGCATCACTTGGGTTTCCTGGGTTTTATTCTCTTTTTTTTTTTTTTTTTTTACTATCTCCCTTTTCATTACTATTACACTTGACTTTATTTCAATCATTAAACAGCTCTCAACTCACAGGTTTTACCTTTTCCTAGTTCTTTCCATCCCACCAGGGCAGAGGGAGCGAGCTAGAATCTGCATAGTACTTAGCTGCCAGCTGGGGTTAAACCATGACACAAAAACATGTCTGTGAGAGTGTACTTTCTTTTTCCCACTTACTCTAAATACATCATAAGTCACCTTTTTCATATGCAAGACACAAATTAAAAGCAAGGGCTAGAAATGGAAATGAATAAAGTTATGCCAAGCCAAGCATTAGCTACTCATGGATCAGCCCTGAGCACCACTAAGGAACTCCATTCATGGCCAGTCCTCTCACAACTTGCCTTCCAGATGCTCAGTGTCTGTGGAAGCAAGATACATCCTCTGATCCCTGGGGTCACACCTTCCAGTCCTGCATAAGTGAGTCAAACCCCTGGGGCACAGCTTTCCCCACAGCTCTTGGCTCCTCAACGGCTGGGGAGATCAATGACCAACCATGAAGGTGAGGCAGCTGCCTGCCAGCTCAGCTTAGCACCAGTGAATGTTGGTCAAGAGAAGCCAAACAGACCACAGCTCTTTGAGAAATAAGGCATAAACATCTAGTAATTCATTTGGGGTTTTACCATTACCTCACCTAGCAAAAGAGCTCAAGGCAACATACAGCACTGGTCTGCTCGGAAGGAAGCATTCAGTTCCCCAGAATGCCTGAAGTGAATAAACATGGGAAGCCACACAAGGCTTCCCCATTCCTAATTGAAAACAATTGGTCAGCTGTTTTTTCTCCCTTAAACATGGATTTTGCTATCATGAATCATTCAGTGTCATCCTATTTCCTCCTTCCTATGGGTATTAAGACCACTAGCCATGTTGTGGGGTAAAAAACAAATCCCAGCAGTCATTAGCCACCACACACTCCACATCCAAAAGGAACTGCAAGAGGAGCTCCCACACTTCCATCCAAAGGGTTGCCTCAGTGCCCGTTCAAGTCCTCACAGCTGAGCTTGCAACAAGTTTAGACAGCCTGGGAGAAAAGTACAGCCTCCAAACCCTGTTAAGAACTAAGTGAAGAACATTATCTCAACTCAGGAAATTAAGGAAGCTAAGCCTGACTAAGGCAGGTCAAGTGAATGGAAACAGTCACTAGTCACAGCTCCACATCCCTCTGAGGACATCTCTAGAACACTGCATCTAACAGCCATTGCTCTGTCCACGTGTGCTTTCAGCATCTGCCCTCCTGACAGTGGAACCCATGGCTCTGGGTTATTCACATGCCACTTTCAAACAACATTATGAAACAGTAAGAGCAAAATCCCCATGATACATTTCTAAGCAGCCCCAGACAGGGCAGAGAGCAGAACATCCAGGTCCCACAGACTCTGCCAGGGGGCAGGTACGAGTGTAACAACTCCACACCCCTGCTTTGTAATAGAAACTTCCAAATTGGACCCAGGAGAGGAGCAAGGAAAAGCTGCGTGCTCTTCAAAGTGGAAAAGAGTGTTTGGGGTTTTTTGCTGTTGGTTTCTTGCAGAGGGAGGAAGGGGAGGTTTGTGCCCCCAAAGTGGGAAAATACCCCAGTGGTACATTACACAAAGCCTAAATTTAGTTTTTACAACTCCAGGTTTGCTGTGCACTATTACCATCTTCTGCAATACCATATTCTTCTGCTTGCCCTACAGCCCCCCCACCAACCATGCAGTTCAAATTAAAACACCAAGGCCTATGTCTTCTACCTGCCCGTTCTCAGAAAAACCCTTGCTTTTAGACTAGGAATCACCAGGGCTGGCTCTTCCCAGAGGACATCCTTTAGAAACAGACCGACAAACCCCAAAAAGCAACACCAATCATAGTGTTCACCTGGAGGCAGGCTCTATGAAGTCTTACAAGAAACAAAAAGCTTTAGGAACTCCATACAGCACTAAAGCACAGATTACACATATTTAATCTCCTTTAAGCATATGTCTACATTTATACACATAGACATTTTATGAAGAGACCTTTTTCTGATGCCTGTATCACACATCGGCTCATTCTTGAGGATATAAAGCTATTATTTCTCTATTGTCTTCTATCTGCACTTCACCTCAGCCTTAGTGCCTACAAAAGAAGGAAAGGGAGACAAAGCAAGCAAGGAAGAAAAACAAGCACAGATTGTAGCAGAAATAGTGGCAATATTGAGAGTTCAAAGGAGGTCTGAGGAAACTACTTCAACACTCTTTTAAGGTAGCAGGAATAACAGTCCTGGCCTTGTCCAGGACAGCAGAGACAGCACATTTGATCTGCTGATGGCTCTGTTTAGAGCAGATGGCAGAGAGCAGCAAGCCCCCATGTGAGTGCTGTATTTAAGTATAGCCTTCTTGCCTGTGAGGATCCTGTGGCTCCAGGATGCCTGCTGGGCATAACTGAAGGAGCAAAACTGCTTTAAATCTAATGTCAGAGCTGATGTCCTGAGGTCAGGGAAAATGAAAGGTGGCTTAAAGCCATTCTCCATTTATCCAGTGTGAATTGTTTCTGGGCTTATACCAAACACAAGAGACACTTCATTTTACACAAACACAAAAACCTCCCCTTTCAGCTCGTGACTTCTGAACCTATTAATGTTCAATTAAATACAAAAGCTTTTACTGAATTTTCATCCTAGGTTTCCCCCTCCCCCCCACTTTCCTCCCATGATTGTAAAGGGACTGTTCTTTAAAATACCATCCCTAAAGCAGGGTGAGTGCCCCTCCATTCCTGGAAGTACCATATTCCCCATCCTGAGGCCTCTGGCACTCACTACAAAGCTGCAATTCAGTGTAGCTGCAAGCATGAATTTTCTGAATACCATGCATAGGTATATTCAGCCCCACAGGTCTTCAAAGTAAGACCTAAAGAAAGGTTCTAGTTCATGCAAGATGAGCGATTTTCTGACTTTCTGGATTTCAGTACTACCCAAGTAAGATTTCTGGTTTAGTTTTATCTCCAAGAGATGAAAATGCAGATGTTACACATGAACTTCAGGACTCCTCACTGATCCATTGGAACACCAAAACTGGAATCCAAGAATGGAGACAGAAAACTAGAACCTTAGCAGGAGTTTTTAGCTATGTCTTTGGCTTTATAAACACATCATAAACACATACACTTACCTGGTTAATAACATAAAAAATGCTATCATAAGCATCCTGTTGTGTATATATACTGCAGCTGTAGTCATCTTCATCAACTCCAGAGTAGCCTTTCAGGAAGAGGTGTTTAAAAGCAACGGTGTTTTCTTCTTTGAACGAGACCACCAGCTGGTTACTCAAACCAAAAAAAACAAGCTGATAAGAAAAAAGAAAATAAATCTGAATTTTGAACATTGGTCAAGAAGCAACATTTAAGAAACAGCTTTGAATTGTAATAAACACAAGACAGAAAGGTGCCTGCAACCCTGCTACAACAGGAATGAAGAATCTGTTAACTAATGCCATAAGAATACTAAAAGTTACCAAAAGCGGGGTTATGAGAAACATTAAACCAAGCCTCCCACCGATTCCAAAACTTACAGTGCAGGAACTAACCAGGCAGATAGATCACTGCCACCTTTCATGTGTCCTGGACCAATCACTCTCACTAGAACGTGCCAAAACTTTCATTAAGGATGCAAATGGCAGAAGAGTTAACAGCACAACCTGCTACACCAGAAATGCCCTCCTTTGCTATGGGACAGATTCCTCTACCTTCTTCCTACCTCTGGCATGGCACAGGATTAGAGCAAACCTATGTGGGACTCCACAGCAACAAAAAGCATCACCTGCCTGCCCTAGGTGCCGGTTAAGGAGGTCATAATGAGAAGCAGAAACAGACAGCAGAATTATTACTTAGGATTTGTGTTACCCTACCCTATGGATGCTCCCATTCCCACCACCAAGGAAAACATAAATGGAGCCCAGGAGCTGAAAAATAATCAAGCAACAAGAGTTTATTCACAGGCACAGTAGCATGAAGATATCCCAAGCCACAAATAGCTAACCATTCATCCTGCCTTTAAACTGCTTACTAATAGCAAGCATGAAACTCCCATTAGTGCATGGAGTTTCCAAGCTCCGAAAGACACTGGCAGAAGGGAAGAAGCAAGAGTGAGAAACTGCAAGCAACAGAACTGTGAACTTAGAAATCCCCCACAGCAGAGGCTCCACTAATATACAAATTCCTTCATTCAAAACAAGAACTGGAAAGCACCCCTATTACTTTTTACACCTTCACTGGAATACATCATCTTTCGATCTAGAACATAATTGCTTAGAGCTGGGGCAGGCTAAAAGAACATATGCAGCAGGATCATTTGGTGCAAGGCTGGCTGTACAGCAAAGTCACAGCCAGGAAATGGAAAAGGGGATGTCAACTCTGCTGCGCATATGCAGTCTTCAGACTAAAAATTGAATCTTCATGCTTTTAGCCATGTTTTAAATCAACTATTTGTATTTTCAGCTGACTACAAAACAAAGAATCACCAATTGAATGCTACAAGTATTGCTGCAGCACTGTAGCTACTATCTCTAAAAAAAATAAATAAATAAAATCAGGGATCTTCCAGCTGCAATACAGAGAAATAAAACATACTCAGCAGCGCTTCCCTGAGGGATTTCAGCACAGTGTTGGAGTAAGATTTACTCCCCACACTGGGACAGAAGGCACTTCTGCTTTCCAGACAAGCAGATATCCCAGCTGCTAGGTTGTCTTTCAGAGTGAGGGCAAGACTCTTGAAGTAGAGAGATGCTTATTGAACTTGTCTGTCTGCTATTGGCTCGCATTTGAGAGGTCACTACAGAGCAGCAACACATTTTCCTTCAGACGCTATTTTCCTTCTTTTGTCTACTTACCTGCTTGGCATCTGAGCAAGACCCAGGTCTGACAACAAAAATGTTAAGTGGTAACCCAGAAAAATCTTGTAGCCTTCAGAAGCCAAGCAGCAGAGCATTGCACCCCTTCTGCTCACAAAGCACAGTGGGAGACTGGGAGGGCAGACAGAAAAAGCACACATTCAGTGATTCCCCCAGGAATTTAAGTCAGGACAGAGTGAAAGTTCTGATGCTTTTCAGAGCTGTGTGAAGCTGTAGTTTGTCTCATTATTGACACATAAAGGTTACTGCCCTGTCTTTGAATAGAGGGCAATAATCCACATCCAAGGTACAGCTGCCAGTAAACATGGGGCACCCTTTCCTCTTAGCCTACACTGTGCTCACACTGTTCACTCTAACTCATACCCCTCCATGCACCTTAATACGCTCACTGGTCTCAGCAGCTCTGTCCCTGCAGGTCACAGCTGTGCCAGCACTAGTGTATGTAACTTATTTTAGCTAGCCCTGCCTAGAGAGACCGATCATTGCATCCCACTCTTGCCTGCAGACAGAACCCTGTCAGGACTGTGGCACACAGACTCTCTGCCAAGTGGGGCCCAAGAGCCTGCCACATTTCCAGCAGGGAGATGAAAAGCAGGAACGGGCAATAAAACACAGGGACACCCAAGCTGGAGTTATGCTTCCTTCTAGCAGGCAAGTCAAACTCAAACCTGTAACCCTGCAACTCAGCACGCTTTCAGGAGCTGTATACTTGCTGTTCTTGCAAACACTCAAATGTCAGAGGCCTGCATTTCAAAGGTCCAGAAAAGCAATTTCTACTTATACATGCATCCCATTTTGCTTCCCTCAATCCCCAGTCACCGTTTCTTAGCAGACTGTAAAATAACCACCTACACTGTGTTACCAGTGCAGTTTAAATACTCCCTCTTCTTTGCCTCTACCAGGCAGGTACCTGACTGTTTGAAATGCATCATTTGAGGACAGAAGCAAGGGAAACATCTGATTCAGCCCAGTCATTCCCATCATCACTAGAGACCATAGCATTTTCATTGAACTATAGCATGTACATGGAACATGTACATTTCAAGTTACTGATTAGATTTCAAGAAATACTACTATTGACACAGTCCAATCTATGAATGTAACAGGAAGCAGAACTACTGTGACAGCCAGCCTGAACAGTGTTGGATTTAGTGGTTACCACTAACTAATTTGCATCATTTGCTTTAAAGTATTACCTTAAAACCAGCAAAATACCTGGCCAAATACTGCCCCAAAATCTCCAGGAAGCTTTTGAAATTTAGTTTGTGTTGTTCTTCCCCTTCAACACACCTTTCCTAGTATTTTTTTTTCCTCTCTGGACTGAAGCAGAAAGTTCAAGTCAGTAATAAATATCCAGGGATGGCAAGGGCCCAGAACCACAGACCTCTTTCCCCTGCACATCACTGCTATGCTTTCCAAGAGTAAAAGCAGAGGAAGGATTACCTGTGTAGTAACCATAAGTATCTTCAAAATCTGCAAAGCCAGTTTCCATGGTATTTGACGTCTTGCTCTGTATTTTTCACATGGGTTCATGAAGTAGAACTTCAGATCCTCTTTCAAAGCGGTCTCTTTTAGATCTAAATCTGACTGAGCCATCATATTTCTGCCACAAATAATATGTTAATTAGAAACCAATAGAATGTTTTAGCAATTTCCTCATACTGCAGTTTCACCTCAAATCACCATGTGATGTAAGAGGTCTGTAACAGTTTTCTGTTTGTTTTGCAACAAAATGCAAAAACTATTTCCCTATATCATATCATTGAAAACAAGAATCATTCAGTTGCATTTTATCATCGAAACACAATATCCACACAACTATTTCTCAGTAAACAGGTATCAAATATGAGGATCTGTAATAGTAACAGCAAGTACACATTCAGCTCTTTTTTAAAACTAAATGTTTGAAATGGGGGTCACTGTTAACACATTTCTGTGAATAACCCACATTCTACCACCAGAAAAAGGTTTCTTAGAGACTAAACAACCAGAGCAGGTTTCATAGCACGCTTCTGTTATGAACAGGCAGCTTTACAGGCTAAACTCATAGGCATTTATTTATTCAAATAGCTGAGCATGTAAAAAAAAAAAAAAAAGAAAAAATCAGAGGACCAAGCACAGAGCACTGCTGTTGTAGGAGTCTTAAATCACTCCGAGTTTCTCCCTCTCCACTGAACGGGACATTGAAAACTTTCCCCTTTTCCCGGTCTTTTTAATCCTGTTTTCCATTACGGTAATTGTCAGAACTTTCCTACTTCACACAAAGATCAGAACCAAGCTTGTAATTTTTCTCCTCCATGTGTTAAGACAGAGCAATTGTATCTGAAGCCAATTATCAGTTAGTAACATATCATACCTGAACCTGGTATCAGAAACCAATTATCAGTTCCATTTACCATAGAGAAAATTACCCTCCACGTTCTGAATTTTGTAAAGGACAACATTTTCTCTTAAGGTCAAAACCAAAAGCATAGTTTCTAAGTTTTCAGATGCATTCTTACTTCTTTCGTGTTCCGTTGTCTGAAGTGTACAGGTATTTAAGCCACAAAGTACATTTGATTTGCTACAGCCAGCTGTCTCACAAGAGAAATGAGTTAAAATACTATGATGTTTTCTCATAAGAGGAAGTGAAATAACCCCAAAAATCTATTTTAACATTAGGATCTCAAAGGTTCTCTCTATTGCACAGCCTTAAATCAATCATTCATGAAGATGATGGGACGCAAGATGATTCTAGTTTTGAGACAAGAAAAACACAGCAAAGTTTGCAATAAAAAGAAACCATGATGCACTCCAATTTAGATTTATAATAAAAACATACTAGAGTTGTTCTAATGATGTTTAAGACAAAAAAAATTAAACACATCTGACAGAAAAGGATATGATAATTACAGACATGAAAATTCTCTAGGGAAACAGGTACATATGTTCTTCAATCCTGCACTGACATCCAAAGACATTGCTGCTCCTGTAACAGCTTCCCGTGAACAGGCAGAAGCATTTGTGTGAGTACACAGCAAACAAGATCTAACCCAGAGTAAAACTCATAGCAGTGGTTGAGGAAGAAAGGGGAAACAGCAGGTTTAAGCTGGATCTGGTCAAGACTTAAAGCACAAAGGTATGCCATAAGAACCACTCCAAGACCTCAGCAAAATCCTCCCCTAAGCTTTCAGTATCAGTAGTGAGAGATCTTAAAAATCCAACAGCAAACTTTATAACAAACACCATTTCCCTTAATACTCAAATATACACCACAGAAGACATGGTGGTTCTTATTCCAAAGCTGTCTTTCAAGCCCTTACTGTTCTAAGAATGTGATGCTTACTAATAACAATACTTTCACATTTACACAACTCTCGCTTAACTCCACTGGCTAGGGATTATTTCCACTGATGCCTTTAGCTTCCTTTATTAGTTAACTGTAGAAACTGTGAGTAGGAAATTCAGCCAAGGAAAGCAACATACTTTTCCGGTGTAAGAGGAAGCCACGAGATTCAAGCCTGTATTGCTGTTGGGCTTTGCCAACCAATATAGAACAGGCATTCTCCTGTGTAGTATTTAAGAAATAATTTGTCAATAGGTGAAATACAGCAACTGTTGTGTAATACATTTGTTACTAGAGCAGATTCAAAGTAATATCCAAATAAACTGTGTTAAATCTGCAGAACTTGAACCTTCAGCCAAAGCATGAAAAAGCTCTGATTAACAATGACTTACCACATTTAAAACAAACCATCTAATTCTTACCAAATGTTTATTAGCCAAATAATCCATACAAAACACCCAGCTCAAGGCAGAGTAACAGCTCAACTCCATTCAGACACAGTTAACTAACACCTTTTAGTAGGTTTCCATAGTATGTTTTGTAAAGCACTGATACAAGCAAGTTTTGTGAATAACTACTAACTCTACTAGGCACGTTTACATGTATATCTAACTGCCATTAAGTATAATGTGTCACAAATAATAATTGTTACCAATTCAACTTTAAAATTTGCATTACTATAGCCACCACTGCAACGCTGTATCTGGCAGGTCAATGTCTTATTTGGATAAGGTTTTGTAGTGAGGCATTTAAAGCTCAGCATTCTCTTCAAGAAAAAGGTTTCAACAGTAATGATTACAGTGTCTAGTTACCTACTTGTGAAATACACTTTCAATACATAGCTCTTCACCCAGCAGAAAAAGCACCATTCAGTCAAGTGCCTAAAATGTTTTTAAAAAGTGGATCTGAACTTTGTAACAAGTAATTCACTACAGGAGCAACACCAACAGTGTCCATCACAGCTCCAGACCCAGAACATTTATAGAATCCCAGAACGGTTTGGGTTGGAAGGGACCTTGAAGCTCACCCAGTTCCAACCCCCTACCACAGGCAGGGACACCTTCCACTAGACCAGGTTGCTCCAAGCCCTGTCCAACCTGGCCTTGAACACTGCCAAGGATGGAGCAGCCACAGCTTCTCTGGGGCAACCTGTGCCAGTGCCTCAGCACCCTCACAGCGAAGAATTTCTTCCCAATATCTAATCTAAATATCCCCCCTGTCAGTTTAAAACCACTCCCCTTGCCCTATCCCTACATGCCCTTGTAAAAAGTCTACTTAAGCTCCACGAGAGGTATTCACAAAATTGGTGGGGTAGGAAGAACAAAAAGAATAAATCACAGAATTCTACATATCAGACTGAGCAACCCCAGCCTCACCTTCATGTTCTTTTACCAAGCTCACAGCTCGCCCAGAGGAGGGCATCGCCTAGCACTCCTCAGGAAGGTGAACACTAAGAACCTGGGAGAAAACCCACTCCTTTCAAAGGGCTGCCAGCGTTACCAGTCACTAAGCTGCCGCAGGAGCAGCACCAACAGCCTCCGCTACCAAAGGCAGCAGTTAGAGCCAGGGGCACACGCCGAACATTCAGCAGCTCCCCGCCGCCACCGCGGGACCCGCATCTCTATATGAAGGAACCTACCCCTGGGGCTACCGAACGGCCGGGCAGCGCGGACCCCAAGCGCCCAGGCGGGTCAGACCTACCTTGTGCCGCAAGCTAAAGGCACGGCTTCAGAGTAACCCCCCCGCCTGCGCGCTGCTCGCCAGGTGGCCGAACGCTGCGGGGCGCGGTACCAGGCGGGCGCGCCCCCCCAGTGGGTACCCCATACCGCCATGCCCCGGGGCAGAGGGACGCGCCGGTTATCGCGGCCCCACACAGTCGCTGTGACCCGGGGCGCTCTGCCCCTCATGCAGCCGAAGGAACGCCCTGAGTCCCGCTCTCCGCCGCGCCGGGCGGGAGGACCCGAGCTTCCAGCACTGCCCCCAGCCCCGTCCCGTCCCGTCCCGTCCCGTCCCGTCCCGTCCCGTCCCGCTCACCCGCTAGCGGCGGCCCGCCCGCCGGGCAGGTATTTGAGGGAGATCTCCATGGGGCCGCGGGGTCAGCCGCTGCCCTGGCGGGGCTCCCAGCAACCCGCAGCAGACGGGGAGAGCCAGCGCCACGATCGCAGTGGAATGGGCCGAGCGGCCCGATCCCGCCAGCGAGCCCCACGGCCCGCCCTGCCGACAGCGCCGGCTTTATGGGGCCCGGGCGGAGGAGGGCGCCGGCTGCACACGTGCCCGCCCGCCCGCCCGGTTGCAGCAGGTGGAGTTGCCGCGGCTCTGCCCCGGCTGAGGGACTGGCGCTGAGACGCTTACTACGGGATACAGCGTGCGGGGCAGATTGTTAGGTTAGGTTAGGTTAGGTTAGGTTAGGTTAGGTTAGGTTAGGTTAGGTTAGGTTAGGTTAGGTTAGGTTAGGTTAGGTTAGGTTGGTTAGGTTAGGTTGGTTAGGTTGGTTAGGTTAGGTTGGTTAGGTAGGTTAGGTTAGGTTAGGTTAGGTTAGGTTAGGTTAGGTTAGGTTAGGTTAGGTTAGGTTAGGTTAGGTTAGGTTAGGTTAGGTTAGGTTAGGTTAGGTTAGGTTAGGTTAGGTTAGGTTAGGTTAGGTTGGTTAGGTTAGGTTGGTTAGGTTAGGTTAGGTTAGGTTAGGTTAGGTTAGGTTAGGTTAGGTTAGGTTAGGTTAGGTTAGTTAGGTTAGGTTAGGTTAGGTTAGGTTGGTTGGTTGGTGGGGGGTTTGTGGTTAGGTTAGGTTAGGTTAGGTTAGGTTAGGTTAGGTTAGGTTAGGTTAGGTTAGGTTAGGTTAGGTTAGGTTAGGTTAGGTTAGGTACTGCAGAGCAAGTCGTTCTGCAGCCGAAAAGGTGCTCTGTTCCACAGAGGATCTGGTTTAAAGTGGTTACTGCAAACCAGGGTGTTTAAAAAAAAAACACCTAGGGTGTTCTGGGACTCTTTTCAGTGGTGCCCAACAATGGCACAGGATGAGAAGCAATGGCCATAAACTAAAATGTAAGAAGTTTCACCTCAACTTTATGTTGAGGATGGCAGAGCACTGGAACAGGCTGCCCAGGGACATTGTGCAGTCTCCTTCTCTGGAGACATTAAAACCCCACATGGATGTGTTTCTGTGTAACCTGCTCTAGGTGGGCCTGCCTTGGCAGACTAGACCATCTCCAGAGGTCCCCTTCCAGCCCTAACAATTCTATGATCCGGTGTGAAAACAGAACACAGACTCACAAGAGGCTTCATCACAGCAACTGTGAGTTCTGCCTGCCCACGCGGTAGGGATGGGCAGCGTGTGGCTCTTAAGTAATACTCTCAGATGATGCTGTGTTTGGTTACAATCACACAGTTTAAGGGGGAAGCAGGAGCAGAAGCCCAGACAAACATCTGTATGCAGTTACTAAAAATTAGCTGCAAGAGCATTATGGAAGCTATTGTATGGGAGGGGTTTTTTTTAAGGCTTCCACTGAAGTGGAATCTTCAGGCAAGATGATGGTCCCAACATAATGCAGTCACAGGTTTGGTCTTTTACTGTGGCATGTGTTTTCCCCCCATCTGCCAGACATAACTTATGCCTTTACACATTTTCTTTTAAATTGAAAAGATACGAACATATATGGATTTGGTTTCTTCCTCTTTTGCATGCATACTTTTTACCTTCCCTTGAGAATATGCTTTGATCCATCATGGAAACTGGCACTTAGAAACAAGTGTGGCCCCCACCTCTCTCTTCCCCTCAGTGTAACTCCATTCTGTTACAATCTCTGAGCTCTCCTTGAAAACAAGTTTTCACTGCTGGAGCATGAAATGGCATTGAAATGAGCCTTGGTGGGAAGCAGCTTTTACCCAGGTTTAGCACTCTGCAACTTATTTTCATGAGGAAATACCCACTGTCAGTACTGTTTGAGCGACTCTTTCCACAGGCAGTGAGAGCTAAAACAGAGGAACTCTCTTACCCCTCCAAAACTTCTTGGACAGCACCAAGAGCCTTGTTTTCCTTAGAATTGCATTTTTAAGCATAATGAATTTTATCTGAAGCTTTATCTGCTTCTTTGCTCTCCCCATCTGCATTTTACAGTTCTGTCTATGCCGGCTTGATTGTATCAGCATAAAGATACCGATGTCTCCAGGACGCAGTTTTACATGTATTACTAGCTTTACTAATATTGAGATTACTGATACTGTTGAAGGCACAAGGGTTTCTTTCTGAATAAGATCTTGTCTCTGCAAGGCCATTACAAGCGCATCATATATTGACACAAAGTAAGATTTAAAAGCCCCACCACCCACAGAACAGCAGCAGCCACAGATCTCCTGGCAGAGCTGCTCCTCATCTCAAATGCAGCCAGTAGGCTAGAAAACACAGCATTGACTGGCTTCTTCTCAGGTGGGTGCCATACTTGGGCAGATGAAGATACTGAACACCATGGATCAAGGCCAGAAACCTGAACAGCAAGCACTTAAACTGCCAGCAGCACTACAAGGTGAACAATACATGCTTGAGTGTCTGGTATTCTTAAACAAAAATCAGGTAGATAGGAGATATGTAAGACAAGCAGTGTTGGGTTTTTTTGCAGTCATGACTGGACATTTTGAGGAGGTGTGAGCCAGTAACCTTTCAGGGAACTGTTCTTTCATGTAACAGCCTGCAACTGTTGCTGTGCTATCTTCATAAGCAGTTGTCCCTTCTTTCCCTCCCACCCTATCCGATCCTTTGCTTTACACATCCTTCTACTCCTTTTACTTAGCCCTCCCCTCTGGCTTCATACTGTGATCCTGCCATTACTATTTGAAGGCAAGTCACCATTCATCAACCCTTTCCTCCCCAAACCCACACAGCTGCCAGCATGCTAAATTAGAAGCTGTGTGCTCCAGCAGGAGTAGCAGAGCATGGTTTTCCATTGAATTTCTGTGTCTCAGTTGATTGACTTTTTAGCTGTAGCACAAGCAGAGGTCATTACTTAAAGACTCTAACAGGGATTTAACTGCAAAACAAGCTTCACAATGAAGTTTGTCCTTCAGGTGACAGAAACCAGTCTTCAGTGAAGATTCCTCCTATTAGGAGTTGAATGAATCTCTATGCAGCATCTTTTCCTGCTTTTGGAAACCTGACTTCTCCCTGCTTCTATAAAGCTGTATAGGAATCTGGTATTTTAGAGATCTGTCAAGTGTTGTTGAAATTTGTTACCAATTTCATAAGTTAACAGTGACATAGCATATGCTCTGCCCACTTCTGAATGAAATCAGACTACTACTTGCCTTGTAACTGTATTTACAAATAAGTCCACAGCTGTTTACAAAATGCACTTGCATTTTGAGCAAATTATTAATCTTAGCTTTTTCTTAACTCTGTATGAAAAAGCTTTGCTAATAAGTCAGCTGCTTGCATTTGAGTGATCTTAAAGTGCTTGCCATCCTTGTCAGAATTCCTTGCACAAACTATTTTATACAATAGTGATGTTCACATTATATATATTGTGTGGTGTCAAAGACCCACAAGGAGTTTAATGCGTTGACAGAAAACATAGCCCCTTAATAGTTGCTTTTCAAGGCCAGATTGTCTTGAATCTTCTTGAAAAGCTTCAAAACTCTTTGATCTGAGGGGATTGTTGGAAGACAAGGACTTTAATACAGAAAACTCTCAGATACCGTGAATCATCTGTTCTGCCCACATGTTGCATTTGTTTTGCTTTTGCTGAATTTCACATAATGTACACATAATGTAAGGTTTAACACTTGCTTATTTGTTTCTATGACAAACTCTGAAATGCCGTTGAACAAGATCACACGGGAACAGGTCCTCACCAAGGTACACGGGAACTATGTTATATACAGGAAATGCAAGCTCACATACTCCACACACTGTTTCCTGACAATTATTGCATACTGCTATAAAAAAAATGCTCCTATATTAACCTCACAAAATATTTACTCTGAAAATGAATACTGGCACACCCAGTTCATACTGCAGCTGGAACTGTTTATTGTAGCACATTTACAATGTTTAAACATTCAGAAAGAACATGTTTAGTGTCCTCCACTTTTGTGCACAGCATTATACATTATCACACACTGCTACAGGAATGTTGCTCACAAATGTAAGTTATCTAAAATATGCTTCCCTTTGGTTTTCTGTTCTGCTCCCAGAGTGAATAGACTATAGAAAATAAGGCATCCATTAAATGGTATCACAATCAACAAGGTCTATAAGTTGTGAAAACTGAACTTTCATAAGATCTAATGTCTAAGACAGCAACCGACAGTACCAGGTTATTAGGTTGGTAGGAAACATCCAGTTTCTAAAGCATGGAGAGATATGACTCTCAGAGACATATCTTCTATGTATTTAAATTAGTTTAGACTTCAGGTTTACAGACTTCTGTACCAGAGGAAGATTTCAAATTAAAAAAATAGACATTTTTAAAGTGCTTTTGTCTGACTTTTCCTTTAAAAATGTAAGGTCAGTACACTGCGAAGCTGAAGACTGTAACTGATCCTACCCAGCTCTGGGTATAGGAGAACATCTACATTTCTCCCTGCAACTCACCCCTCAAGCTTCAGTTCTGGCCTCTCATACTCCTGGCCTCTCTGAGAAGAGACTGCTACTTACATCAAGTGGTACTTATGCTTATAAAAATACCTGGTTTATGCTCTCAGCTGTATTTGAATGGGTTGTGTATCCATTCGCTGTAATGTCTCCAGAACCAAATTATACCAAACTTCATAGCTTTCGTTTATTTGTACTATGAGTGCAGATAAACAAAAGATGCTGAGAGCTCTAGAGTGAGCTTTCACGTATTCAGTGATGTGTCAGCCATAGCCAAATAAAGCCTGCAGTACTGAGGGCTACGCTGATGTTCAAAGTTGCAGTTGTCTAGCACTATTTTTACTTGTTGTTGAAAGTTAGTGCATTTC